CCACACCCAAGAAAGGTTTTCTCGCGGTGCTTTCTGACGTGAAAAGAAAAAACCTGTACAACGAGTTCTCTACTCAAGACCGGTTAGCCATGTTTACCATCTGCAGCATTCAGTTTCAGGAGTTCGCTCATTTAATAAAAGAAACGCAACCGAGAAGGGTTTTCGTCTATAGACCGGCAGCTCCATCTGTGCAAAGGTCGGCTGTTTCATGATCGCTTTTTGATTCATAGCCCTTTGGAGTTTTCTCCTGTAATCTGATAAGGTGAATGGTGTGAGGTTCAATCACAAATTACGCCCAGGAAATAGAATGACCATGCCGACAATAACCTAGAGCCGGTCATGAGCAACTCACTCTTTGGAACCGTTGACAGAATGGCTCGCAATCATTGCAAATCACCATCAGGACTGATCTGGTTTGAGTCAACGAAAAAGTGAGCAGCATGTTTGTGGCTCAATCGATATCCTTCTGATAATGAATTTAACCCCCCCCCCCCTTTCGAATTGCAGAATCAATCGAAACAGAAGAAAGAATAGAGGCTGTCTCATGGACGGCAGAGGGCGTTGTTGAACTTGATTGGCTAACTTCTGGAATTTCTCCATGCACTTAATTAATACTCAGAATGGCAGTAGATTTTGAATGCATACTCTATCCATGGGATGTGATGCGAGGCTAGTCGATTATCAGGGTAGAGATTTTAAGCTCCCATATGAGTCCATCAGTTGATCGAAAATGGAAACTTTGGTGGGGCTACGTCGGTATTGATGCGATGTTCTCACATCATCATGTAGGTTGAAACTGCATCGTTTGGCAGTGTTTCAGCACCTCATATTGGAAAACTGAATCTTAAAATAGTAAATCTAATAAAGTTACAATCAGCATTTCTAGATATAGGTTCTCAAAGAAAGGTCGAAGTTTAGGCTGAAAAAGTTTGGTCCCCCATTTCCGGGTAGCACGAAAGAGTTATTAAGTTTTCAAAACGAACCAGATATAGATACATCTCAAAATCGTGTTTTGGCTTTGCTCGTTCGCCCTTGTGCACAGCTCTTGGTGTATAAATGTCTAATGGATAGCCGATCTGCTCTCTATCGTTAGATCTAAATTGTTCTTTTTTCCTTAGTGTTAAAGACACGAGTGAGAATCAAACGTACTTCTTCGGATGTTGCGTACTGAACTGAAAGCCAAACAAGCGGACAATATCTCTTTCATGAGGGCCACCGACGAGAATAGCTGATGGCCGTATATTGCCATGCACGAGACCGATTCCGTGAATGCTCTTCATAGCTTCTATTATGTAACGGCAGATGCGGAAAGCTGATGTAATGCTGAAAGTGTAGTTACTTGGTCGCTGAGAGCTATTCCTTCACATTTTCTGAAAGAAGTAGCAGAAGCTATGACAATGGATCCAACAAAGAGACATAAATATAGTGATGAAGTCAAATAAACGGTAACGAATAAAGTAGATGAAGAATCAAAGCATCGCTTTTGACTTCTTCCAGCGCTACTCAACATAGGCAAGCTGGAAAGACGTGCTCTACCCATTGTTTATCCACGATTGCTTATGAAATCACCATGAGCTTTGCTACCCGCACATACTGTATACACAAAGGTGATGTTACGTACCTGATTTTATATCTGTGTAACTGGCTCTGCAAGGTCTGTCCTACGTGATCGGTGATGTAGAACCTGAACTGACCTAGTTCCTCACATAAATTTACTGAAAAATAAAGCCCTACACTTACGTAAGATCGGCTGTCTTTCCTTTGCCGTAAAGCTTAGGTAGAAATCTGTTTTCGATTTTCTTCTCCTTCATGAACTCTAAAGCTCTTATTTCCTTCTGCAACCTAAACAAAAATGGACCAGAAGGAGCAACAAAGTAGCAACAATCGTGGGGGCGTAGAACCGTAGCTTAAAGGCACAGTTCACCATAAATTCCGGATATCTAGCTATAGGCGAATAATGAAAGTGGTAGACCAGAATAGAGCAAAAGAGGCGAATAGATTGAGAAAATCGGCGTATTGAAAAAAAGACTCTGAAAAAGTAGCAAGATTAAGGGTTGTGATGAAAAAAGGGCATGGAAGGGATAGTTGGACGAGCTGCCCGAATGTGTGTGTCGTTTCCTAACATGGCTACAGTAGACTACCCGCGTGCAAGGTGTGCGTCTCGGTGCGAAAGTGGTAGCGAACAATAGTGAAGCTTACGATGGTCAAAGAGGCAGGTGCAGGCCAGGCTAGCAAACTATAATCATGCAAAGCCATTCCTCTCTTCCTCAAATCAGGATGGTCGGATAGGCTCGCGGATACGATTTACCAGGATCAGAAACAAAGATGTCATCTGGATCATACAAATATCTCATGTCGAGCAGTCCCTGCAAGAAGAAGATCAGATAGCAGCGTCTACGATGGTGCGGACGCCTGCTGAGAAAGCCGCAAAAGTATCTGACACGAGAGGCAATGGATCAAAGTTCAAAGTAGGTGACCACGACTAGCCACAAAGAAGAGGTGGCCGAACGTGATTGAGAAGGACCTCGCCGAGGCTGAAATAGCAGCAGGACATAGATACTAAGAGTGGGTGACGGGATCAACGGGCTTTGCAACGGCGCGGAATTCACTAGCAAAAAGAGAAAAAGACTCAAAGTCTTCCCATTACGGTAGCAGTTGGCATGGGCAGATCCAGCAAGAAGTCCAAAATGAGCGTTGGATCTGAGACAGTTAGACTCTGAAAGGCGAGTTGTCACCGGGATGCAACTTCTCTCTTGCGTACCATTTTGACTGTATTCGCGATTTCACGACATCAGACGGGAACGTAGTATGTCTCAAGTACCACCTGCCACAAGATGGGTACAATGGACGAACTTGGAGCGGGCCACAACGAATTCTCGACGAAGCCAAGCGATCGTGCAGGAAAATGATCACTCTTCGTGATCAGCCACGAGTACTGCTCATTACAACATGACCCTCACGCTGGAACGCCTCACAGCCGAGGTTTATCATTGCTGACTAGGAAAGGCTGCAGAAGTTCATCGCCACGATTATCAGGGGCACAAGAAGATTCAACTGCTAATACTTAGTGCCACACTTCACGAAGCCAAGATTGAACAGAAAAATTTGTTGAGCTTGGCTGGGAATTCCTTCCACATCCATTGTAAGTTGTGGATATCGCTTTTTCTGACAATAGCTTATTTCATGCTCTAGAACTGCATCTCACTTTCGAGACGAAGGTCTCTGTGAGCAACTATAACTAATCACTATCGGATCACGCTTATTTTAATGAAGATGTGGAGGAAGCTGCAGCTACACTAGCTAGCTAGCTAGTTACATCATAGTAACAGCAATCTCACCGGCTGAAAAAAGCATGCAACCTTCATCCGTGCTGGAAATCCATACCAAGCTGGCTACAGACTTTTGAACACTTTTGGAGCTCATTTTTTCATCCAGTAGTTAAATTTAGCACTCACATTGAAATCTCCTGGGTACTGCTTCTTGGAAATCTTATTTGCTTGAATTTTGGCGCAAAGTATCTTCCCATCGTCGCACTTTTCCACTCGCATCAGCATTCCATGGGAAGCCATCACCAGAACGTCCATTATGGAAAACCTGGCACGAAAGAAACCGTAAGTGAAACTTATAAAATTTCCCTTTACACTTTACTTTTACATTTCACATCACTATACACTGCTCCGCAGAAATATACGTCCGCCCATGAATGGCTTTAGAAGTCGAAACTCTCAAGGTTGCTGGGAAGCTTTTATTGGAAGTTGTATCAAGTATTAAAGGCACAGTTCGCGATAATTCAATGGGCGCGTATGTCAATGACGTGTCCGCCCATTGAATTATCGCGAACTGTGCCCTTAATCGAAGTTGCATAGATACCAATATCTCCAGTCGGAAAATGCTAAGTTTTTTTTTTATTTTGTAAGCGTGGGCGCATCACACAGCATTGGCTTACTGTATGAGCTCTACAAAACTTCTGTATGACTTAACCTTTCAGGGCGGAGTCCGCAAGCCGAGGCAACGAGAGACGACTGGCGACAACGACACCGAGCAGCGTCGACTCCCCTACACCTTCTTATCCGATACCCATCATCTTTCACTCTCTAGGGGCGAAGCCCTCCATACGTAGAGCTGACTTATATCGTGTTAACGCAGTAGTCTTTGTGTGACAGTTCCTTGCCCATTCTCGTATGTACGTTTATTGCCTCATGATGTAGCTTCAAGATAACAGCGGGTCATCTTACCTCTTTACTCTGTATTGATGCTTTAAAGATAAACTCTATTAATCCGGCGTCTCGCGTAACATGATATCAGCCGCTCCACTGGGCGCGCTCGCTTACTGGTAGCAGCGAGTGGTTCACCCCTCGCTATGGAGGAAGAAGGGATGAGNNNTTCAAGATAACAGCGGGTCATCTTACCTCTTTACTCTGTATTGATGCTTTAAAGATAAACTCTATTAATCCGGCGTCTCGCGTAACATGATATCAGCCGCTCCACTGGGCGCGCTCGCTTACTGGTAGCAGCGAGTGGTTCACCCCTCGCTATGGAGGAAGAAGGGATGAGTGGGTTGAGTTTCAGTAGGGATCTTAATTACGGAGCGTTCTTTTTAAGATAATGAATTCAAAGTCGATCGCCTCCCCAGATAGATTGAACAAGGACTACAGCATCCTCTCTTTGATTAGAGCCGGCTCTTTCTCCAGCTGTATATCAAAGCGTCACTTCGCCGTCAGATGCCTTCTGCAGACGGCGCCTTTCTTCTAGTGTTTCTTTAAACGTCGTCTTTCTTCTGGAGTCTGGCGAAGCCTTTATTCGGAGGTGCAGCTTTCTTCTGACACTTCAGCCAGATGGCGCTCTTCTCTTCAAGCGCTTCGTTCAAATGTCGTCTCTCTTCTAGTGTTCTGTCCAGATGCACTCCTTTTTTTGAATTCCATATTACTGTAGTCCTTGTCCGATGTTCTCCAGTGATCTCAGACAAAGGTGGCCTACAGAGCGAGGGCTAAATCGCTCGTGGTATAGTTCCCCGGGGACCGGTTGGTCAAAAGTCTAGACTTGTTCAAAAGGTACTAGTGGACGTGTGGAAGCCGAGGAAGGCTTAGTGCCCATTTCAGGGAAATGGAGGTAATGGAAGTGTTGGAGCTGAGGAGAGCTCGGAACCCGTTTCAGGGAAATGGAGGTAGAGAAAATCTTCGTGGCAAAAGTCGACGTGAGGATTTGATAGCCGACAGGGTCGGCGGTGGTGACGAGGTGTTAACCGACAGGGTCGGTATTTGTAGTGAGGAGCTCAACAAATTGTGAAGGTGAGGTTCATATCTGCAACGGTGAGGTCGCGATCGGTGGTGTTGTGTTATGGCGGAGATGGAGCAATGGATGCTCGAAGACGTAGGTGAGTGTAGTAGTACGGCTAGTTGGCCCAGCACACAGACATTTGTTAACGATCCGAAACCCCCAGAAGTGTGGCTCCCATCCTCGAGAATCCCCCCATCCTTACCGGCTAAGGATCGAGGAACTGAGGGGCCAGCCATCTCCGCGTGAATTGATAGATGGCTGGCGGTGTCAAGAACACCGACCAGACGCCAAACAGGGCAGGACACACCTCGGTTTGCAGGCATCTCCTACCTTGGCGGTAGAGGTGTCCGCAAACCAGGTGTGCGGCGAAGGATCCGAACTAGAGACACCCGAGCCACGAGCGATCGCTTTTTAACGGCGATCACCCGCCCTGCGCCATTTGGCATTCGGAGAATCTTGCTAATCGGTGAATTATGTTGCAATGGGATGAGTGCGCTAACGTGGTCGAACGTGTCAAAACCTGTGTTAAACGGTTGCCTGTTACTTTGACCTCACAGTGCAATTTTCTTTTCCTCGTTCTGTCACAGTATTACAGTATCGCTTTATCGACGTTATGCCTTCGTATTTCGCATTATGGTCGTCGTTTCAATATGTTCCTCATTAACGGTAATATGATACTCTCCTGCTTCTCCTGTGTATTCGATCTGCAATGCGTTGATGATTAAGCTCAGTCTCCTCTTACAGTCTCTGCAGATGCCTGTTGTTTGGAATTTTGTGGTTTCTTATCGAAGATCAGAGGTCGTGACCCTCTCTCCTTTCTTTCAACAGTTCTTCTTTGTCCTCATCAGTCACTGCACAGTATCGGACAGCCCCTTTCTCCTCCCTCATAAACACTTATATAAGCTGGTACCCCACACTGGGGACCGTTCCGTTTTCGCACGCTAATGAGCCAGTCTCATTCTCCACCTCGTGCTAATACTCCACCCCCCCCCCCCCCCCCCCACCTAGACTTGTTTCTAACGATTCGCCCGACTCGGTCACCAATGAACTATCGCAAGTCCTCTCCAACATCGCGGACGACACCGCGGTGAAGGCAAGACATGCCAATGCTCTCCGCGACGCCATGGTGAGCGCCATCAACGACTTGCGGACGGAATCGGAGGAGGTTGCCGACATGCTGACACACCGAATTAGCCAAGGTACATCTTCCCTGTTAGCTGGCCACAATAATACCTTTGCAGCGGTAGGTAAGCGCATTGATAATGTTCCTGTCGTAGCATCCCTTAGCCCGGATGGGCCCTTACACAAACTTGTTCCTCTTGTCGGATCTGGTGAAGATCCGATGCAGTTTTCTATGTGGCTACAGCGTTTGGAAGATGTCATGAGGATGCAATCCGCTTCGTGGACACCTCAGCAGGAGGCATGGCTCCTCATCGGCTACTTGGATGGCGCAGCACGAGAGAAAGTCGAGGAGGAGACTGCGAGAGCTACGACGCCATCGTCGCCCACCTCAGGAAGTCGTTCGAAGGACCTCAGTACGGGTACACGGCGCGGCAGGCTCTGTCTGCTTGTAAGCAACAAACAGGTGAATCTTCTGCTACATTTGCTAACGTCTGCTCACTTTGGTCCGTGCACCCACTACAAGACAGGATCCAATTACCCAGAAGGAGAGTGTCTTGGAGGAGTTTGTCGCACGTCTTCGTCCACATATCAGGTATTATGTCAAACTTGGTGACCCATTACCGTTTGAACAGGCGGTTTCAAAAGCTCAAATGGTGGAGCAGTTATTAGCCGAGGCTACAGCGGATCGTTTGATCACACCTTCAGCGCCCCTAGACCAATTGAAGTTAAGACGGCAGCGCCTAGAAGGTTCAGTCCCAGACGCGACCAGCGTCCTCGGGCATTCAGCCCTAGGCAGGGGCGGTATCAAGGTTCGAATCCNGGTTCAATCTAGACCGTAAATTTTAGAGGCAGCGCAACGATGAATACTCATGAGACACTCAAGGAGGACCCCTTCTTATGATGTGCGTTCTCGTTCGCTTGACCGTCATGTGCCTCATTCTTCTCCATCTTCTGAGCTGTATCCAGCTCGTCGTGATCAGTCTCACGAACTTTTGGAAGCCCACGCGTAAATTCGAGCTCTCTCTGTTACTCTGCGCGAAAAGCAATTAGCGCTAGAACGATCTGAAGTGAGAGCACATGCTCTCACTAAACGTAACGAGAATTAGCTCAAAGTTCTTTCGACTTTGCCCTCTTCCTCCTCTAGATCTGGTTCGACTCACTTGCCTCAGGTCAAGTTTCTATTGCCGCTTGTGGCACTTCCACTTGGCGGGAGCACTATGGCTCTCCCGATGTTCGCGTGGCTCTGCCCGCAGGATTCATCGGACACGTTTATGAGAATTCCATCTTCATACAATTGCTCGTATATTATTCCTCGCCTCGATGATATTCCTCGCCCTCTTTCTCTATGTATATCGCTTGAATACGAAACATTACGATATATCTGCGTTCTTTTGCAAGATCATGACGCAGTGACCTATTCGGTCAACTTCTTTAGAGCACGATTTGAGAACCATTCCGAGACCTTGGAAATCGTCTCTTTTGAAACCTGTAAGCTCATGATATAACATCACCGATGCGCTCATGGGAACCTGCAGTCAACTGGCGACACCTGGGCTACCTCTAACGTTCTGTATATCTCGTGGCCCTCGGCACCATTTGGGTGTTGCTCGGACCACCTCGCGTCTGCGACTGATTGCTACGTGATACCCACTGTAATCCATATGCGTCACGGGCTTCCTTCTCAGATTCCCCGGCGGGTGACCTTAAACACTGCAGCTACAGCGCAGGTAGTTGTACCCTACGTGACAGCTCCGCCCTGGTGTGGACACCCAACACCGAAGAGCAATGCCAATTTGTACCAGTGACCAAGATGTCCGACCATGGTGTCAGCGATATCTGGATAAGTGATTCCAAGGAGTTCGCATTGTCTTGGCGCAACACCAGCAGTCAGATCCAAGACTGCGGTAGGGATCTCACGATTTCCGATCAAGGGTACGCACTGGCGTTTATCACCAAGGTACCGCGTCAATCCACCTATGACGTCGGTGTAGTTCTCTCCAACCAGTTGGTGGCGCAGCTTCTGGCCGCAGAAGGTTCATTGGGATCTACGGTGACAGTCTTGTTCCATCACGCGCTCACCGCTCTCTGCGATAGGACCAACTTGCTGGCGTTAACCCTGCACATGTTTTTGAAGAACGATCCCTCTTACCGTACGCAGCCTACTCGGACGCCAAGACCTGGCAGCTTCTTTCCTTGGGACGAGATCGTCCGTATCCACCACTGTATCCAGGCACCCTCGCAAAACGAGCGCCTGGTTCGGTTCAATGGCACGTGCTATGCTAAGCCCGCGGTGAAGCTCACGCTGCCTCGAGGGACGTCACTGCGTTCGTTTATAGTCCCCACGACCCGCGTCATCACTAGGGACGCACAGCCGATCTCGTGCTCCTCCGTGCCTCAGTTTATATTTGCTCACCCGTCAGGTTATTTCAAGTACGACGCGCTGTCTGGTGCGATCCAAGCTTTACCACCATCGTGAGCTTTACCACCATCGTGTTTCGTGACGTCGGCGTACCATGGAATCTCAATGTTTCTGCTCTCTCACTTCGCCTCACTATTTTTCACAATCTGGTATTGACTAATTTGAGTGAATTAGTTCAAGACCACCAGTGGCAAGAATTGTGGTCGAGGGTAAGTCCAGATCGGCTTTTTGCGGTCTAGGCCCATAAAGCCCACACGTCGTATTTAGCCTCATCATCTCTGTACCATATCCATCCACGATACCGTATTTCTGCCGTTGAACTCCCTCGAATAGAAGTTGACGCCACCAGTTCGTGGCCTCCACGAGCAATCATGAGTACCGTGAACGTGTTATCTCTCTCTGATTCAGATCACTTCTTCGTAGCTCAGATAACCATTCGGGTCAATAATATTCATGTTCTTGCTTTGGTCGATACAGGCGCCTCTATTACAGTAACTGCAGTAACTAGGATGTCCGGAATTCCTATTCGTTTACTAGGTAGAGCCCTTCTCAAGTTCCAGATCGGGTCGCTCATCTTTGACCACCCAGTCTACTTCACAGATGGTTCCTGCATTCCAGATGTGGCCGACTCCTATAACATCATTATGGGGAATGACCTGTTGCGTCGTCTCCCCCCATGGTCCATTAATTATAATACCCCTACCTTTTCTATGGCAAGTGAAGCGGTCAAAATTCTCTGTGCAATCTCGGCGCAAGAGGATCCTCCGGTAAGAGAGCCAATCACGGTCAGCGTAGCTACCACGACCGTGCTACCGTGCTACTTGCTTCAGCGGAGACTTTTGTGCCATGCCAGACGGACAAGACCGACGACCACCCTCTATGGTTAACCACGCAGAGCGACCATCTTTCCGACGGATCGCTCATGGTAACCCCGGCAGTCATCAACTCCAGACCGCGATGTTACTAATTGCCAGCCCATCCCCTCAACCAGAGGTACTCTCTAAAGGTCAACAGATCTCTAGTGCTGTGCGCCTGTGCGAGCAGTTCGGCTCGCTGGGAATGCTAGCTCATCTCTGCGTTCGACACCACTTGTCGGAGCAGTAAATAACATGGCGGCTCGTTCACTCACAAAGACTTGTTTAGATTCAGAACGGATCGGTCTATCTCATGCCGAGGTTTCTCCGGAAGAACGCGTGCAATTAGCTCAGTTATTTCGTGAGTTCCGTGACCGAATCTCAACCTCTACTTACGATTTGGGTTCGTACCAATAAAGCGAAATTATTATAAAAACTACCACTGACGTTCCTCCTCATCGCTATCGCCCTCCTCGGGTACCATTGAAGTTCCAAAAGGAGCTGGACGAGCACATTAACCGTCTGCTACGCGCAGGTAGGATTGTCGAGAGCGATACCCCGTGGGTTCATAACACGGCGCCTGTGAAGAAGAAGGATGGTTCTTTACGCGTTTGTCTGGATTTTCGCCTTCTCAATGAGGTGACCATACCGGATCTATACCCGCTCCCTAGGATAGATGATATCTTATCCAGGATTTCAGGTCACAAATATTACACCACCTTAGATCTGGCATCAGGGTATATGCAACTTCTGTTGTCCCCGGAAAGCCAACAAAAATGTGGCTGGATTACTTGTCGCGGGACCTACCAGTTTGTATACCTCCCTTTTGGGCTGAAGAACGAGGGAGCCTACTTTTGTCGCGCTATGTCGCGCATCTTAGCCGGCTTTGAGGACAACTGCTTAACGTACCTAGTCGACATCGTGGTGTTCGACAAAGACTTTCCCAGCCACCTCGCTTCTTGAAAAAGGTTTTTCACAGGTTTCGCCTTCACAACATCAAGGCGTCCGTAAAAAGCTGACAGAAATAGCCCTTTCTAAGATCAACTTCTCAGGTCACGAGCTGTCAGGTCATCGTTATTCTCCTGCCGAATGCAACATTCTGGCATTTCGCGACTTTCCGGCGCCGACGACAATCAAGGAAGTCAAAAGCTCCGTAGGTATGGCCAATTTCTTCCGTAAAGTTATCGCTACTTTTGCATTGATTATGCATCCCCGCGTCATGCGCTTCTCAAGGAAAAGCTCAGTTTACGTGGGGCATTGAGCAAGAAGAAGCTTTTCAGCGACTCAAGCAATTGCTGACTTCCAAACCCTGCCTAGCTTTTTCGCAAGACAAAGAGTTTTTCTTGCATACTGACTGGTTCAACTCGCGGTGGGTGCCGCTCTATTCCAGACTTATTTCGAATCCCCGGCGCGGTTAGCAGCTGTGGGATACTTTAGCCAAGCTCTGTCTGACTCGCAACGTAAGTAGAGCCCGACCCATGTTGACCTATTCGCCATAATCAGCGCTCTCAGGTTCTTCCGCCCCGTCATACACGGTAATCATACGACCGTCTTCTCGGATCATAGACCTTTGACTTATCTGCTGAAGCACAACAAGACCCACGACAACTTAGCTCGTTGGGTAATTGACTCCAGAGCTACAATTTTACCACAGAATACCTCAAGGGTTCTTCAAATGTAGTAGCGGACGCCTTATCCCGAGTAGTCGACAAGAAGGTTTGATTCAAGGACAATACCCCCCAAAGAGACGATATCGTAGAGTTCCCAGTAAGTGTTAACGTGCTCCGTCAGGATTCCTACTCGGTTCGCGTCCATTCTTTGTCTCGGTCAGTTCCGTGCTATTCGCCCATATGACGCCCTCCTGGAGCAGAAACAGAATGACTTTTGCTCATCGATCGCCACTTTTATAGAGACTCAGCCGGTTTCCGGCCACAGTTCCCGACGAACAAAGGCCATTCTTGCTCTCCATCGCGGAGCATTGTGTGATTCAAAGAATGGTTATTTACATTATAGATATCCAAGACCGCACCAGTCCCGAGTGCGTCGTGAGCGACTTGTTGTTCCGGAGAAGCTCGAGGAACCTGTCTTTTTGGCTATTCATTCAAGTCCTTCAGCTGGCGGCCATTTCAATTGGCGCAAAACTCTGGCCAAGATATCACGTAAGTATTTCTGGCCCCATATGGCGGAGAACATCATTGCTTGGTTCGATCATGTGAACAATGCCAACGTAAGCGAAACCAGCAAGTTAACCGCGAGCTTTTGGCCCCTGTAACGAGCGGCGCTCTCTTCGATAAGGCGTACGTCGATTTGATGGGACTACTCCACACTTCAGAGAACGGTAACAAATACATCTTAGCTATGATTGACCACTTTTCAAAGTATGTTATCGCCACTCCCCTGCCAGATTGCGCCGCGATCACTGTAGCCCACGCGATAATGTCGGATTGCATCCTGGTTTATGGCGTAATGACGCAACTAGTATCCGATAACGCTTCTTATTTCAAGGGAGAAGTTCTTTCCAAGGTCGGGCGTTTGCTGCGCATCAGCCGCTATTTCACGACACCCCACCATCACGAAGGCAACGGAGCATACGAACGAGTGTTCGCCACCTTTCATCCGATGCCTCGCACCTATATCGCTGATAACCAACTCGACCGGGACAGGTACGTCAAAGCTTGCGCATTCATGTACAATACGTCAGTTCATACCAGCACTAATAACACTCGTAGCCACTCTTCACGCCGCCTGGCGCTCCGCCAGGCACTTCAACGATCGTCAGCGTGCGAAGTATAAGCAGCAGCATGATGGTACTTGCCTTCGGCCCCTAGATATCCGCGTCGGCGATCGCGTTTTCTTGCGCAACCCTGTTCTGAAGGTAGGGTTACCATCCAAGCTCTGCAATCCTTGGTTGGGGCAGTTCCGTGTTGTGGAAATCGACCCCCTCATCTCACTATCGTCAGCGTTTCGGCCCCGCAATCGTCACCCCGGCGAGTGCACATGAACCAGGTCAAGCGCTGCTACGAGCTCTCTCGTCCAGCATTCACCTCGCAATGGACTCCAGTCGAAGAGCAGGCCTCACCGTCTGCCGCCGGGGCTACGGCATTAACAATGCCCGGTTACTCTCATCAGGTAAGTGCGGAACAACTTGCTATCGAATCTCCAGTGCCGACTCATCATTATAACACTCGTTTCAGATCACGTCGCACTTCTCTATGACTGGTTGGTCCAACACAAAGACCTTTGTACCATGTATGTATGTGTCATTTGCTGACATATCACTCTTCATCTCGAGCCTTTCGCACCATTCGTGCGCTTTGATACCATTTCCTTGTGTTTATTGCTCCTCTCTTTATTCATGTATTCTGAACAGCCTAAGGACTCTCGATTGCATACGTGCTTCGCGTCGATCCTTTCCGTTTGAACTCGTTTCGTTCGCTACGCTCGTATTCGCGGTAGTTAGCCCTGACTACGACTTATACGACTCTTACAGGAAACTCGAACCAACATTTGACTCTCTTTCTCTCAAGCCATGGACAGTGCGCCACCAGACCCGGTAGCATCGGATCAATCAGGTGAGTCTGCACCAGTTCATTCCGCACCGGGTTCCGGTCCAAACGTAGACGTGATTCATGCTGAGTGCCCAACACCAGCCTCGGTCGTAGACGTCCTCATGCGATCTCCCGAGCTGGGGCAAGAGGCTCCCACCTCTTCTAACCTCCAGGTTTGTCATCTGTCAGCCCCCGACAGCAATGACGCGACGGATTCTTCTTCCTTCGCACTGCCAGAGCTCGACCTATCGAAGGATGCTCTTTTCGCTCCCACGCCGGAGCCAGCGGCGTCGATGAAAGCTGGCGACGGCCAGCTTGCGCAGTCAATGGAGGATCTGTCCCTCCTCTCCAGCTGTACCCGCACCGTCTAGCCCCGCTGATCCCGTTTTACAGGCCGCCTTCGGACCAATTGGGTGGCCGGATGGCGCAGATCCATCAGAGATACCACTCCCTCCTGCAGCCCCGGCAGCTCCCGTGGCCGCGAAGGGCCTCCCCGTGGCCGTGGAGGGATAGTGAACATCGGCGTGCGTGGCGCTCTCGCCGATGGAAGGCTTCACCCTCGTCCCCGACGTGGTCGTGCACCGGTGGCGTGTCTCCGTAACGACCTTATTATCCTCATCTGGTAGACAATCCCCTACCCGTTCGAGAGAACTATTTACCCACTCTCCACCCTTGGTCTCGCTACGTCGATCTCCGTCCTCGACGCATGGTGACGTTCGGCCATAGTAGGGTCACCAATGAGCTTCCTGTATCGACCTACAGGCATCTCCCTGACGCGGGATACATGAGCCTCAAGTTCGTTCGGTCGCTGTTTCCTAACTTCGTACTCCGCAGGCAGCCTTATCCGAACCCCATTCCATTCATAGAGCTGCAGCACTTCGAGGATTCTATTGACATTCACTTCATCGCCGCAAGCACGATCACGGCAGTGCAACAGGGAAGATATCAGGATATAGATGTGGATAACGTCCCCCTCACACTGACGATCTCCCGCAGTCCCTTATTGATCCCACCACACAGACTCAGCGCCGGCCGGTGCTCTACCAGGCAGTGTCAACAAGCTGGAGAACTGGTGTCATCTTCGAAGCCAAGGATTTCTTCTTAATGGTCCAGACCGCAGGGATCTCCATCACACTGTCCTCGATCAATACGCGATCAACCACCTAACGGGATTGTGCGGATTCGACAAAGCCAAGGTATCGGTCAAGGACTTTGTGTGGGTGTATGACCTGAAGCCCATTCGGCAAGCCCTTCGGGAACCCGAGGAGGCCCTCACCGCGTCGCGATACCCCCGCACTACAGCGCTCCACATGAACTCCGCTCACTTTTTCCGCGCGGAATCATTCGCTTTTGTGACGCCAGTAACGCTCCCGGAACCGATGTACGGCATCATATTGTCGCGCAAGTTCAGCGAGTAGGAGCGGTCGCCTCTGTTAGAGCAGTGTTCGAGGGGGCGCCTGACGCCGTTACCCTGACTCACTCGATCTGCGATTTCAGCCTCGAGGACATTAGGGAAGACAATTTCGTGATGGCTAACTCACGGGCGAACGTATCCTGCGCTATGCGTTTTTCGAAACCGCCGGCATTCCCCGAGGCCCGTACAGCTCTGTACAGACTGGTCCGCCAGTTCCTCCCCATGCACCCCGACGAAGGGTTGGTCCCGCTCCGGGTTTGGCGACTGCTGGAAAGTGACCATGCGTGGCTAGCGGATCGCGCTGGTCCCTTTGGGAACTACCGCAGTAACCGCGACGAGTCAAGGCTACGCATGTCGAAGGTATTCAACGTGGCGTGCTTGGCCCTGGCAGCGATCAATTCCGCGGAAGACGATCGCCTCTCCCACAGATTAACGGCCTCGACAACCCGTCCATATCATTACCCGCGAGGCTGAATTTCGTGCTTCAGGATATGGCCTCGGAGGCAGGTTGGGTCCCTCAGCGCCCCGTAGCTTTGCACATTCTTGGGTCGAGTACCATTTGTCGAGCGAAGATAGCCTGCGTCGAAATCCTTTCCGACCAACCCGCTCTAAGCGTCACTATAGAAGCGTTTATTTGGTTACACCGCAGTATCAACGACGCGCTTCACAGGTACGGTCACCACGGTGGCACGCTCACCTTTGTTGTAATAGACGTGCACCTCGGCAGACAGACCAACCGCGCCGACCCTATTCACGAAGCCATCGCGCATATGCAGACCATCGCCGATTTGAGTCGCGGGATCCCAAGATGCTCCAATGGACCAGGCGGAGGCCGGCGACCCTATCGTGGTCTCGCTCCATCCTATCAGATTCGAGGAGCAACTATGGTTCTGACTAATAACCAAGCGGAAGCCCATAAGAGCGGCTCTCATCGCGTCGCGACCACCATCAGTAGTAGTCGTAACAGCAACTACTAACGCGGCGGTTGCCCAGTTCACAGAGACTTTATTAAACCACGATGACTTCGCTCAACTTGAGATCGTTCGTTATTGTTGGACACCGCAGCGTCCGATACCCTATATCCCACGGAGGCAGACCTAAATGTTGTTCTAAAATCGCTCAGCGATCGCTATGAGGCTCAGCTCGATGCAGCTAAGAAAGAATAGAGGACTCAAGGAGGAACGGGAACTCCTTGAACAGTACATGGAAGACCACACCAAGTTCCTCTACATGTCCGAAGAAGACCAACACGAATATGAGATAGCGGAGCGCTCTGTCTCCCGATCAATAAAAAAGATGGTTAAGCTTATGTTCCGTGTCCGACGCCCGGCCATCCTTTGTCTCACTACGGCCTCGCTATTGAATACGACGGACCTGGCAGACGATCTCTTTCGTAGACACTCAAGCTCGTTCGGCACAATAATAGGGGACAAAGCGTCTCTTGAACCCCATGCTTGATGTCAGCGAACTCCGAATCCGGCTATTTTTGGCGCTCGCAGTGTCATTAGTGACCTAATGGGACCCGCAGCCGTCCCGGTGTCCCCGCTGGTTACAACCTTCAGGGCGCACCCCGCTCTCAGTGCACCCCCTAACCTTCGGCTTACGATGGCACACTCCTCATCGGTACAGGTCCCGAGTGGCGGGAGCTCCTGCTGTCCACTATGCGTTTCCCCACCCCGGGAGTCCCCTTTATGTTTCTTAATATTGAAGCCCGCTCTGAAAAGGCAGACAGTAAATCGCATCCCAACACGGACGAGGCTAATGCCTGCGATCGATTAATCGAACTGTTGCTAGGGAATCGCATCCAGCCAGATCAGATTTGCGTGATATCTCTCTTCAAAAAGCAGTTACGCCATCTTCAGACACGCCTCGATCAACTCGGCGTCAAGCTGACCTCCGCGGACTCCGTCCAAGGACGTGAAAAAGAGGTAGTTATTCTTTTAACAACCAGAACCAACGCTAATTTCTGCCAAATCAGCTGACTTCTTGGACGACTACAAACGGGTCAATGTAGCAACCACACGATGCCGTCACGGACAGTTCTTCCTGGGCAACGCCGAATCCTTGGCGATAGTACCGTTCTGGCGGCGTATCCTCGACTGGGCAGCGTCGCTCAATGCGATTGTTCCAGTATCGACTCTCGAGTGGTATTTTCGCGGGTAATGTCCCGTCACAGTAAGTTCCTCTCTTCAGTCTTTTAAAGGCACAGGTCAGGAAAAGGTGGTTCCGGAGATTTGCATATAGTTTGAATTCGAAGCCCCCTCTGATACCATTTGTGCAGGAATGAGGTCGAAAATCGTTAGAATAGGGCACAATTAGGGCAGGAACATTGGGGGACGTCAGGGCTCCGCCCCTCGCTAGGCTGACTACGCGTTCGAATTTTCCTTCACCACTTTCGCATTGGAGCGAAGTTGGTGGAAAATCGATACGCTGATTGGCAAATTGCCAGGAATGGTCAGCTGGTCGACCGCCTCCTTCTGATACTAATATTCGGCTGCATTTCAACTGATTGGCTTCAACTGAGCATAAATCTTCAAATGAAAGTCAAAGAGTGTTCTTGACATTGTACAAGAACACATAAATGACCCCAATGAAGAAAATGCGTTGCAAATAAAAAAAATTGAAATCTTAGCATGCATTTTATAAAACAACGTACTATATGGAAACTTAGGTACATTTAATCGTAAAATTATAAATATAAGGGAATTTACTCACCTTTCTGTGCAGAACAACTGAATAAACATAAAAGTTCAGCGAAATATCAGTTGGGGAATAAATAGTTTCAAGAATCTAGTCTAAATCAGCTGTTTGGGTGTTTTGTGTGCCATTGCACACATGGCGTCGCATTCATGTACTTCCGCAAAAATTCACTTAACCACCGTTTTCCCATTATGAATCTCGTCCAACCACTTTTTCCTCTTTTTTTTCGGCCGTTTGTTTTCCTTTTTTTCACTGTTTTTAGNCTTTTATGCTTTACCATTGTCCTAGTGTAGGCCTTACCTACCACTATCTCTAAAATACCGGATACGATACCCCCAAAATTGTCCTGAACTGTGCCTTTAAGTCCGGGACGGACTTGGTGTAAAGGGGAAGAGGTGTAAGCGTGGGCGCACCTCACAGCATTGGCTTACTGTATGAGCTCTACAAAACTTCTGTATGACTTAACCTTTCAGGGCGGAGTCCGCAAGCCGAGGCAACGAGAGACGACTGGTGACAACGACACCGAGCAGCGTCGACTCCCCTACACCTTCTCATCCGATACCCATCATCTTTCCCTCTCTAAGAGCGAAGCCCTCCATACTTAGAGCTAACTTATATCGTGTTATCGTAGTAGAGTCTTTGTGTGACAGTTCCTTGCCCATTCTCGTATGTACGTTTATTGCCTCATGATGTAGCTTCAAGGTAACAGCGGGTCATCTTACCTCTTTACTCTGTGTTGATGCTTTAAAGATAAACTCTATTAATCCGACGTCTCGCGTAACATGATATCAGCCGTTCCACTGGGCGCGCTCGCTTACTAACTTTATTTCCTTGAGATAGATTCCCTGACCTAATCCGCACAAAGATACGCCTGCTTAACATTACATTCAATGACGAAAGGTCAATAAAAATGACAAATCACAAATTCATTGATTTGATAGCCCCCGCTCCTTCAAATAGTTGTAAGATGGTTCCGTCTGTGCTTTCATAAAGATTGTCAATAAGTCTTTGATCGACTTCATGCGATGCTTTGATGATGGGTGCGGTCTTTGAGCTATTTGACGCCTCCAAACAAGCAGATGTTGGCGTACGTCTCTATCACCATGATCCACCTTACGTTCCCCGTTTTGAATCGAGGTCAGGACCCACCGCGGGACAAGGCAGAAGGGCGATTTGATGTCGTCTAAACCCTGCTCGGGTGCTTTGATTGATATGTATCGCCGTGTAATCTTGCCTAAAATTAATCGGTCGCCTATGATGGTCACAAAAGGGTAAGAATGTGTCTCTTATAACAACCCAGTTGGCAGAGGAATTCGTGTTTTACTTTCCCGAGCAAAATTTCGGTCGCCTCTTCAATATCATTGCTGTCCACGATTTCGCCGCCTCTCTTAAAGTTCCGTCGTGAAAAAAGTACCCCCTCCCTGAGATCGTGCCAGCAGAATCGATTGCCTCCGCTCCGTCGCATTTAAGTTTTGGATCGGACACAACTCAGAGAGAAAACATCTAGCGAAAGAAGGTTGAACCTCACGAAGAAACAGCCAAATCCCTCCAGTCAGATCGTCACGAACGGAACCTTCCGCATTTTTGACGGACCATGAACGTGGACTTGGATACCACCCAATAGAATGCATCCGTTGAGACATCGACTTTGAGAGAAGATTTCATCTCCGCCCGTGCCTATGTCGACTTCGATGCTTTTTGTAGAATATTTCGCTTATCGCTAATTGAAGGCAGGATGTTCTGAGGCTTTTTGATCCCATAAGCGCCAGAATACTTTGAGAAGCTGTTGATAGCCTCGTGGCAGCTGACCGAATCCTGTGCGATTCGACGGTTAGACGATGCGGGCTGTTTTTCAGAAATTCAACCTTTTTCGAATTGCGACCAGTATTGTCCTTTAGCCATAAACCGCTAAAAAAATCGAGGGAGCATTTATACTAAGCGAAAATGAGAGGACCGAGAGAACACAGCTTGAACATATCTTTTTGCATCTCATTAATAGGCCAACGCGACTTTAGTAACAAATGAAGACAAAAAACATAGCGCCATTTCATTTGAGATTTGGTGTTGTGTGCTAACTTTGATTAAAACTTTTCACCACATTCAATTGGAGAAATTCCACGAGCATCGAGAGTTACGAGTTTTTGAGCAATTCAGGGATGGACGTATATTTATGCGGAGCATTGTAAATGGCGCACTCGTGTCTGTCTATCCGTAAGGGAATTTGATATTACATAGGAAGCAACTGAAGAGGTCTTGGAATGGCTTGAGCATTTAGCAAGAATATTGAGCCCACGTGACTTCACGGAGCTGCGCTCATAGGGTTCTACTTTAAGGATCTGTCTGGAAGGTCACATCAGTCAGCAGCTATCCACGAGCCTCGTCGAAAACAGCACCAGAGATTAAAAACGCTGACGAAATCCCATCCAATGCCTTATCAGCGCGTTGAAATCTACCTTCTCCTCTCACAACTACTCCAACATCGACGATAATAACGACAACTACTACGCGGTCATCGCTTTCCATAACAAACCGTCCGACTACTCGCTTACAACGCTGTACACGTTCCCTCCAGATTGATCCCTGCGCCAGCTCGTGGTGTCCGGGAACCGCCAATCTTAGGAAGAGTGTTGGGAAACAAATCTTTTTCTACATCTTTCTGCAATGTGCAATACATTTATTCTCTGGTACTCACTTCTTGACCAACCAACTAACAGGGTAAAATATATACCCACCATTCCCTTTGTAAGAGGTTGTAAGAGTTATCGGAATGTAAGAGAATAGAAGATTTAGATGAACCCCTTTATTGTTTCTTTATCATTGATTCCTGATGGGGAGATTGCTACGTGGATAAGGCTTACGGGGTGAGAGGGCAGTGAGCATATCAGGTTACGGTGGCGAACGTCCGTTGCGCGTGTCCGTCGAAAGTAGGTCACCCCGCCCACTTCGCGCGCGGCGCACTCCATTGAGGTCTCGAGAAGACATTACAGTACCACCAAGTGTGAGTGGAGCGAAGGATTTGCATTTGTCTATGTTATCTTCTCTTTGGCTGACTATCATGGAGAAAGCGCAAATCGTACGCCCCGCTCACAGCTGCGACGTTTGTCAAGTATCGCGGGCTGATCCGCCGCATGCGACGGCTGCGGCGTGACCTAGTTTCGACGGACACGCGCAACGAAGCGTAACCGGTTACGGTAGCTGACTCATCTCATGCTTCGTACTTAAGGCTCGCGAACGGCAACATCTAACAATAAGAAGGAAGGAAGTCGATCGCCGCACGCGAGAGGATCACGCCTGTCGCCTCCATGGAGTCCTGACCTTCATCGGTTGTCATCTCTGGGCTCACCACCTTCCAGACAAGGAAATCGACTGGACTGATACTCACTCACCATCACGTTAATAAACTGATTGTTTATTCTCGTCTTAGTCACGCGCGGTTTGCATCCCTTTCATGTCGTCCAATAAACATTGTACTGCTTTCAATCCAAGGATACATCACAAACAAAAATCAGTAAGTGATATACTCACTTTTCGTTTGTATCAGTAACAAGTTGCTCTCCAAAGTTGAGTAGCCTTATATCTTGTGGGTATTCGTTTAGAGCATCCTGAAGACGCCGTTTATCCGACTGCGATAGCAATTCAGAGAGAAAAGATTAAAAGCTCGATCAAATTTACCATTAGCAGGCAATTAACTTCACTCCCGACTCACTCGATCTCCTCTCCTTTCAATGGCCAAGGCTCAGTGGAAGTCGAAATGCTCGGCTAACAGAGAATTACCGTGTTTTGGTGAGGAATACAAAATTTCTGATCAAAATCTTTCTGACTTAAATCGCTCCAAAACCAGGCGGGCACTAGGGTATGTGTACGAACGTGCGTCCGAGGATGCGCGCGGCAATATGCGCGGCGAAGTTCGTAATGGTTTGAACGAGTTCGGCGCCTGTCATTGGGACCCAAATTTCAAATAGAATGGATCAGGANGATCATCCGACCCTACCAAACAACACTACTTCGAGTTTGTGCTCCGAAAATTGGCGCCGCAGTCGTACAAATCGTCACGAACTTTGCCGCTCAATTCGCCGCCCTCGGACGCACGTCCGTACCGTCCCTCTGGGCAGTACGCCTTGGCACCAGAAGGTATTCACTCATTATTCGAAGGATGTTTGGCGAAATTTACGCGAGCACACACAGCGGATATCATCCAAGGATTATGCCTTTTTAGGATACCTTCCATTAGACTGCTAATTGTAAGACTCGCACGCCACAACTATGATTGCAAGGGTCCGGTACTGAAGTGCACCGTTAATCAACAAAGTACTGAACCGTACCTTAACATTGTCAGTTGTCTTTTTCGGACCCTCAGCAGCCATGCTGATCGTTCGCTAATCCTGACAGCACAACCGTATGCAGAGAGCGTTATACATTGAATGAATTTCCCCATTTTTCAGCCCCTTTATGATATCCCTGCATGATAGACCTAGAACCCAACATAAACCAAAGACTTCGTACAAAATCAATTCAAAGATAAAGAGACAAAATTCATGTCGATTTGCAAAATGTCAGCCCTCGAACTTGCTGGCTTTAATTCCTTATTGACAGCATAAAGGACGCCATAAGTGATGCCATTTTGTTTCTCAATACAAATCTTGCCACAAAAGATTCCATGTTTTCGAACCCTCATCCCAGAAGAATTATTAAAACTAGTCGTATCGCCAAAGTTACGCCATGCTTGTCTCCTTCCCGTTACAGAGTTAAAATGCATGGGTGAGTCTTTTCGGAACAAATAACTAACTTGCCCATAAAATTATTGGAAGGACACCCATTCAACGGGCACCACAAACACGGGTGCACATGCTCATCGTTTACTTTTACAAAATCTCTATGTTGTTCTCAATTATACCACTAACCATTCAACAGAAATCCGATCCCTCCCTTCGTAGGTCTTGTAGCGCACAGATTTCTTCAAAGCAGGTAACGTGATTAATCAACTGAACCTCGAATGATACTTTTTCGAGTCTGGATGGAACACCGGTACTCGATAAAATAGAGTGCTACCATTTACAACAAATAACCAATCATAATCGATAAGATACGCAAAAGAAGGCCCTCAATTTAACAAAGCCTCTTCTCCTTTTATTCTTCCACAAATTAGCTTTTCATCGACACAAATCAAATTAGCTTTCCATTTACATGAACTTTCGAAAGCGTGAAGAAGAAGAGGCCATGACCATGTGTGTACGATAGAGCGGCACTTGCCACCACACCATCACCTTCCAGAGCAAATATTCCCATCATATGCGTTATCTTTTCTTGGGATGAATCTTTTCCTTATCCTCAAAATTCTCTATCTATCGGATTTATTATAACCACATACAAAATAACGCAAAAAACTACAACAGTTCTGGTAACTCAAAATTTCCGTCGTACAGTGCTGAGTTGTGAACTGTATCAACATCACTTTGTACAACTCTTATGAGGGTCAGAAGTTTTGTACGTTGTACATTAGTGACTGCGCACCGATGCAGGGCAATAGCATGCGCTTACCATGGAATGCATTGAAACTCTTTGGCAAAATAGTAAAAAACCATAACCCTAACTAACGACTTCTACGTAGAACTAATCATATGCGCATGATCAGGTTCGCTTGAAAGTGTACAATAGAAAGGGTCTAAGTTGAATGCTTACAAACATTTAACACATAAATTTAAATATCATCATCGCCAAGTGATCAAAATATGGTTATGTGCCGAAGTTACCTACATAGGGTGGCCTTTTTAACATTAATATTCATATTTATTTTTTATTTATACTCGATGAACTTCAAAACAAACATCTAATGTTTGACTCTTGCAGGAGGGTCATAAAATAAAAAAAAACAGCCAAATGATTTATCGTGAAGGAGGAATGCTTGTAAATGTCATTCTTGGATCTCAACTTGAGTACGGATTGTGAGTTCCACCTTAATTTGAGAATGTTGAATCTAAAATCAATTTTGGAATTTTAGTGAAGCCAGCTCGTCATTTAAATATAGTTTGATCTGGTTTGAGATCGAATTATGTTTTTAGTTGAATAGCCGGAGGATATCTTTCGAGGTTCCTTCCTCAGAACTACGGCTTCCTCCCGAGGTTCATACTTCGATCTCTTGCGATGATGTTTTTCCTCGTATAGCTCCTGAAAAAAAAAATTTATTATTTGCATCTTGCAAGAAACATGCACTGGTGTGCAAGACTTAGGGACGAAAGCAACTTTCGATCACTAAACCAATGCCAGACGACAGAGCTCGATGAAATTTATACCGTACCAATAGAGGATCATTACGGTATTGCACAGGAAGTAACTGGCAGAAAATCGAAATAGGACTAGCAAATAAGGCATTTTTCTTGAAAGGTATAGATTACACATAGTTCCTCACAACTTATCTTAGTACTTCAGAAAAAGCGACGCGGTTCTTAATAGGGTATGTGATCACCATGGACAGCAGTAAATGCTCCGCAATGCGATCCCATACTTTCTACGAGGTTGGAAATGAGTTATTGTGGTAGGGCATTCCACTCCTCTATCAGCGCAACTGACAATCACTGGATGGTCAGTGGTGCATTTGGACGTGCTGCAATGCCTCTACCCAGTGCATCTACACGTGCTCCATGGGATTCAGGTCGGGGGCACGGACAGGCCACTCCATTCGCTGGATAACCTCTTGTGTAAAAAGCTCTTCCACCTGAGATGTTCGATGCGGTCGCGCATTGCTATCCATGAAAATGAATTCAGGGCTCTCTGCAGCCCTGAAAAGATAGACATTAGGGAGGGGTTCCTTTTCACAGTAACGCCGACTGTTAAGGGTGCCACGCTCAAAAATCTGGAGGTCAGTACGGTGACGAAGCATGATGCCTCCACAAACCATAACACCTCGACCACCAGAACGATCACGTTCCACAACGTTTCTGAGAGAAGTGCGTGTCCTCAGCTCTGGCCATGAGGGTGCGTCCGGAATCTCTGCTCAGATTGAATTTGCTCTCATGCGAAAAAAGCAAACGGCCTCATTTCTCATCGGTCCGTTCGCTATACTCCTGGCACCACCCTAAACCGTCTCGCCGATTCGCGAGGGACAGAGGAACCCTACGTGGTGGTCGTCGGTTGAAGCACCACCGTGCAGTCGTCGTGCCACTGTAGTGCGTGGGATGACCTGCTTTGAAACCCTGTTAAATGACATTGCAATCAAAGAGGCTGACTGACGTGGATCTCTTCTTGCCTACTGCACAATGTAGCGGTCTTGCCCTAGAGTAGTTGTTCTTGGTCGACCACCTTCTCTCCTTCGTGCAGCAGTATAAGGGGTTCGTAATGCTCCCCGTGCACGTGAAACAACGCTGTGAGCGATATCAGGTTCCTGAGCTGCGTTCGTAATGGTTCGACCTTTTTTGAGTTTCCCGATGATCCTTCCTCGTGCCAGGTTATCCAGACGATGTCAGCGGAATATGATGTATAGAAGGATAACACCACATACTTGGTAGCTACTAGCTGATTGACAAAAAATTTTTTTTTCGTACCTAACAGCTCCCTCGATTTGTGCGGGTACCAATATTTCTCGCTTTGTTTGGACTATTCCTGCACGAAGAGGTGTCTAAATCCCTGTGCATAACGGTCATAGGTCTGGCAATATAATCCCACAGTTCCATTTATTTCCACCCAGTCCACAATGTTTTATGTTAAATTATCCATCTCGTCCCTAAGTTTTGCACACCAGTGTATTTACAACGGGCGCATTCACGTTCCCGGCCGCGTGGACCTAACGCTGTTTTCAAACGCTACCATGATTCGCGCTGTATTATTACCATTTAAACTTCGTAGTCGATTAATTTGATCTCTGCGGTGGCAAAACCATACCAACTAAAATTTGCTTAAATGGTTGAGGTACCAGCGTCAGGCTCAGGTTGAGTGCAATTTGATGAAGAAACCCATCACAACAAATAGGGTTGAGTTCACTGAAGTCACCCGAAATAAGCGCACAAACCCCTTTCCCGAAATCAGTGAACAGTATGCTAGGACTACCGAGGAGCGACCTCTGCCAAAGAAGTTAGTTCAAATTAAGACTTTGAACGTGTGACCGCAACTGAGAAGTCAACGGAAGATTGCTAACCAAATGAGAACAGGATTATCCGAGCTCTTCACGTGCGGGAACACGCTGGAAAGGAGCAGGTACATCAAAGGATGTTGAGCTCTATTTCAACGAATACACCAAACGAAATGTTGTGGCCCCATTAGCAGCGAAGTCCATAAAAACTTTGTCTCCGCTGTCAACAGGATCAGCGATCAAATCATGACTGCGAGGATGAACACGGAAAAGGGGTACTGAAAAATAATTTCTGTAAAAGCATAACCAGCTGGCCGCCCAAAGCGCGGATGTTGAATTCTATTTTAGAATTCTATTTTAGCCTCGACGATGGCATCAGAGCAGTTCCGTAAGAGGACTACCTCACACTATAACGGGCGATCTGAATGGGAACGTCAATAGTGAACGAAGGGGTCTAGAAAGGGTTGAATAGAGCAGTGTTGAGAACCCGTATTTTTTCCGAATCCTTTTGAAGTACAACGAATGGGACTGGAACTCAATATGGAGCTACACAATGAAAAAAAATTGCTGTCGCGCATAAATTATGCACAACATTTCTCACATTTTCACCAACAGGATAAATAAATGATAATCTATAGGATAGAAGAGCTTCACCTGTGAAGTTTCCTTAATCTCTCCTTCTTCTAGCGGCTCTTGTTTCACTACAGAAGTATGCGACGAAGTTTCATTGACCGCCATCTTTGGTTTTCCCTTGATATCCGATTCTTCTCTAAGGTCGTCGTTATCAAGATTTCTCTTTCTCAATCGACTGCTCTGCCTGTCGCAGTGATCCGCTGGTCTCTTATCACCTTTATGCCTTGATTTCATAGGCAACTGTAAACAATATCATAGTTCCGTAAACATGCGAATTCTAATTCGAAAAAATTTTACCTTCAGGAACGCCCCTGACTGTCTTTTTTTCGAAGAATTCCCACTAGAGGACTTATAAGCGAGGTTCACCAACATAGATCTTTTCAATAATTTCGTCTTGTTGCAAGAACCGTGAGATGTGAGGAAGGAGGAGGTTCTATCGGAAGTTGTAGATAGCTGCAACATAGCCTTAGATATGGGCATTGAATAACATCTCTAAATAGGTACTCTCAAATCATTATCATAAAGCGGAAATACATGAATAGCCAGAAGCTTTTGATAAATAATGCATGTAGAAGATCTCATTAAGGAGAATATGTTTGTTAAACATTATAAATAAGGAAACGACGACCAACCGTCTCGAAGGATTTTGTTTGGCTTTCGCAAATTTCCCCCTCCTCCAAAGGTTCATCCTTGATTGCGCCGTTGCTGGGACTCCCCTCCGACGAGTTTGAAGGCAAATTTTTTGAAGCATCACTGCTGTGAACATCACTCGGATTGTTGTTCGAGTCATTTTTTGCCAACTGAAAAGTTGGAAATCAAAATAAAGAACAGCAACACCATAACGTAAGCATTTTTGGTAGTACACTGTTTGAAAGTAGGTGGGACACTACAAGTGTGGAAAAGCAAAGACATCTCGCAGGAAAAATATGTGACAGCTGTAGAAGTGATCACAACAACAAAGCCTTAAACGGGCTATGCTATACAGAACTGCACTATGAAGCCAAAATGAGAAATATCACTGGATGGTGAATGATCTTGATAGGCAGAAATGAAGAGCTTTCTGACTAGACCCTAAAAGTCGCCTCTACTATTATGCCCCGCTCTCCTGCTTGCTCAGGTAGACGTCTCCTCATGTTGTCTTCTCAGACCATACGATGAGAAATGGAAGTATCGCTAAAATCTCTTTAACAGCTTAAGCAAGTACATATAAGGGACGTCACAGCAAACGTCTCCGTTCAACACGAAATTGGTGAAAGAACGTGGATATGAGATGTCGGTACAAAGATCAAGCTCGAGTGTTCTATCACTCCGATTCTGTCCCAATGGCTTAGCGGTCCTGTTAATCACTCCCTTACGCTTACTCAGTCCCTCAATGAAGTGGTATTGGTGAAACAACAGAGGGGTAATACGAAATTGAAACAGTTTAGTGCTCACTTCTTGTCTGACACAACTTGTATCTATGAGGGTCCTAACTCTCAGCAATATTAGGGAAAGAAATTCCAGAACCTTTTTAAGAGAACCATGATGGCACTCCTATATGTAGATCTTTGGTAGCCTTTTACTCCTGTTCTATTTTATTGTGTAGAAAAATGAAAAAAGTAAAATGTCACATGGAGTCTTAAAAATTTTAGACTCCATAAAGTCTATAATCCTGAAAGTTTTCCGGCTCAAACCAATCCCGTCTGAGGAATACGCCTCGCTTCGACTTGAATTCAGAATCGTAGCCGCGTATTATATGTGTATGAGGCCCATACAATGAGTTGCAGTGTGCTTTTACCCCCAGGAAGAGTCTGGTACGAATTTGGTGACCTCGGAGAGAAGGAAAATTGGTTGGCCTTGGCGAATATCATTCCGGGATTTGAACCCATGACCATGCGTGTGTGCTAGTGCGCTATTTCCCACTCTACCTTCTCCGCTCGTGGAGAAAATAACAAAGAGAAATGCGACATAAAATAAATTTATAATCTAAAACCCTTTCACACTTATTGCGAATACATGTCTGAGCCACTTTAAATGAAGTGACGAAATTTTTTATAGAGAACTAACCATGCCGGCGAAACATGGTCTCCGCCGACACAAAACATTGCATACCCTTTTGTTAAACATGAAGTTTTTCAAACCATCAAACTGGCCTCCAATGAAGAAATTTATTCACTGGCCGAGGGTGTGGGAACACTCGCATTCGCATCATTGAAGCCACTCAAAACCTCAGCGCAGGGCGATCTTCATTACATGGGAAAACTGTATGGTCATTATGCTGCCCACACATTGTTACTCAGTGAGTAAAAGTTTATCAACTCGAGAGAATAACAACAGTAAGAAAGTGTACCTACTATAGAAAATTGGGTTTTCTAACTGCAAAATTTCACTATCACTCGAGAGATTTACTTACGTGCAAAATAAAATTAAAGAAATTTGTAGTTAAAGTTTCCATAGCGGTGCCGGATAGGCTGATATTCCGTTCCGCTCCTTATTTCACATTTCATCTATGCATGAAAAAAAACTGTTGACCAGCAGTATTCTTATTTTTCTCCGGACGCTTCACTATTTTATTGTTGCTGTTCTCTTCAGTTATTTATCTTTTATCAGTAAGTTACCCAGCTAACGCCGGATTTCCCTCGTTTTCCGACAAAGTTGCAGTAATCGGTTGACTCTTCACTCCTTCTTCAAAATAAGCAAATTTCCCTTTACACGAAGTTTGGCACAGGACTAACAGAGCAGTGCAAATGGTATTTGACGTGAGTCGGTGCTAACGCCTTTAATCCGAATTCTCAACCTTTTGCCCCTTTTCTTAAAATCAAATACCCATTAAGGGTACAACAACTTTTGGGCAACCAAAGCCTTTTGCGGTACTCACAAATGTTTGAGCGATGAAAACACCATTATCAGACGTCGTCACCACTGGACTCTTCTCTTTACTGAGATATCATTAGTTGAGAATTAAAAATTACTGGTGATCGGTTAAGTTTTGTTGCAAGTGATATCGAAAAAGAGGATCCTTCGTTGGGTCACAAAGCTTGGTGGGTAGCGGGTCGTAAGAAATGAACAAAATTCTCATCCGCTCATCGTAGCGCTGCTAATGGGTCCCCATCACTGCCCCTCTACTCACTTTTGTCACTCTACTCTACCATCCCGTCTTATTGGATGAAACCTATCAAAAGTCAATGTTCGATTGTGAATACTGACGACGCTAGGATTTTATTGGTGAGGGCTCTTGCTCGCTAAGGCCACATATCAGTTCTTATTGATTGTTATCAGTTCCTGTCGCAGAGTACTTACGACCACCTCACATCCTACATCACCTATTAAAATGCCAAGTTCCACTGTCGACAAAAAGGGGATTACAAACCTAGTGGCTCTAGCCTTCTAGGCTCTTCGCCAGCCCTTGCCCGCCTGTTGTCATCCTTGTCATTGTTCACCCTCAGTTCACATTCCACACCACCTACAGAAGTGCTCCACTGTTAATATGAAATAAGTTCTAGACCTAATAGCTCTCGCCTTCCATGGCTCCTTAACAGTCTCTGGGCTTAGGACCGTAGGTGTTCAGTGATAAGGTTTGATAACAATAACATCTACGGTCCTTTCTCAACACACATCCCTTACTTACTAAAGTGCAAGGCTCCACCGTTCACAGGAAGGAGGCAGCGGAATCTGCGGCTCTCGCTTTCTAAGGCTCTTTGCCAGCTCCTTTTAATTGTTACCACCTCCTACCACACATAATCAGTGTTCCCACCCATCGTGCCGCCTGTACCCCTGCTAAATTGCAACGCTCTACGTAAACTTAAACAGGAGTTATGAATTTCGGGTGAAACACACACCGACCCACACACGTATACATACACACACATACACACAGCGGCAGACCCACTTAGCGAATTATATATAGTAGGATTAGCAATATTAACGATACACCGACAGCATAATGACTATGGAGTCTTCATTCTAATTGAAATCGCCTCGCGTCGAGATTCGAAGTGTTCTCAAGCGTGTAAATGTTCGCACACCCACGAGCTCTTTTCGTCTAGAGTCCTAGAGGCAGCCCTTGTGGCATAGCCGTTTGCTGTAGTACACATAATACTATCCCGTTGAATAAACGCAGTGCTCACCGAACTTCTTCGTTTCCGATGAGTCGAGTGGATTTTACTGTAGATTCTTCGCTCACACTGGAATAGATTTGCTTATTCAAGTAACTAGTATTTGGATGCTCGGTGAATGTTTACTTACTATCGCCGGTTTCCGCCTCTTTCCTCCACCTGAGCAGCGTTTTTCATGCTTTTGTAAATAAATTAGTCGACGGAAAGCTGAAAGACCAAAATGACGTTTTGTTTGAGCGCAGTTAAGAGACGCGACTTTTTATTTTCAAAACCAACTAATTGTTCGATCTAATCACATTCATTTGAATTTTCAACAGAATAAAATTTTACAAGAGGTTAAACAGATGTGCATCACTTTTCATCACGACCTATCCGCAACCCTGAAGAATAAGCCCGTTCAACTAGTAAATACCTACCGAGCCGTCTGGGCGTATTTTGAGTTTTGTTCACTTCCTTTACGTAAAATGGTTCCCTGATTTCGCTAAATTCTCAGAAACTGCTGACAATACGCTTGCGAGAAAGAAGTTCTTCAAAAGACCCCGACTAATGTTTTGAAAAGGGGATAAAGACGTTCAGGAAAGGAGAAGGCTCGAAGCAAAGGACTTTCGGGAAACTGACAGAAATTGAAAACAAAAGGGAATGTAAACAAAACGTTGCATTTTCCACTGAGTGGTTCTTCTATTCTCAGTTTTGTGCAGATCCGAAGCTAGGTTGGGACCCTGCGCTCCCATTTGCACTGGGATTTCTCTTAACTTCGGGACAATGGAACAGAAACAATAAAATTCACAGTGTAAACGAAACTTGCTGAATTTCGATTGTATAACTCACAATTGTTGCATTTGCTGCACAAGAACTCGCACTGTGATGAGTGAGTCAACTCATGAACTTTCAGATCATTCTTGCGAACAAATGTTCTCTCACAGAAAAGGCAGGAAAATGGCCGGTCAAGTGTATGAACAGAACGAATGTGAGCAGCTAACGCCTGAATTATAATACTCAGTATAGTCAAAAGATAAGAAAAAAACCATGATAGCGAGAGAGAAGCGCTGAGCGAAAAGTTAGAAAGCACAAGCAAAGCTGCATACTTTAGTGCATTTATATCCAGGATGACTGCATCCTTCGTAGGGGCATGCATGCTTCTTATGCTGATGCACCATCATGTTGTGACGACGAAGTCCTCCTGCACGACCAAATTCCATGCCACATTGCTCACATTTGAAAGGTCGACGGTTTCTTAATCGAACGATAGTTACTGCCAGTCTCATCAGAAGCCGATGTCACCGAATTTCAACAGCGAATACGGTCGTACATGTTTTCAGAACACTGCTTTTTCAAGTTCTTCCTACACATATGGCCTCGATAGAAAGGAGCGTTTACTTATGAGACATGGCGTGGTCTAGTCGGGAACACAGTTATGAATAGTGGCTCTTGCATAATGAAACAACCAAGCAATGGAATTCGTTACCTTTCCGAATGAGCTTATGAGGGAATGCACAGAGCACAGTACATGCAATAGAACAACACTGAACCACGAAGGAACACGTACACACAAACAAAAAGGAAAAATGACAACAAAATACGTACTCGTGCACAACATCTATGTGTTCTCTCAATTGACTGTGCGCATTGTATACCTAGAAGTAGTGAAAGAAGAAGAGCTGACTTGAGTGATACAATATGGAAGTACCTTGTTGCAGTGCTGACAGACGAAGACATTTGGTGCAGCTCTTTCTCCATGCAAACGTGCTTCATGCCTTTGAGCTTTCTCTATTGTTTTAAATATCTGAAGCAACATGCAAGCAAGAAATTGTTGGAAGATTTCATAGTGGGAGAATTCATGTAGGCCAATACCTGGCCTGCCATCAATTCAGTTATCATACAAATTTTTTGAATCGAAAAAAATTCACGAAAAGATCAGGAACTGATGGCATAGGTATCAGCCTTTTTGGACAGGAAACGCATAGTTCTAATGTTTGTAGCAAAAAGGCTTCAGATGCGGTCAACCTGAGACAGAAAGAAAGAATATGGCAACTTCTACAAACAGTTTTAGCCAAGACAGTACGATCGACCACATCAGCCGCTTTCTTGCTGACACCTAAGTAAGTGATCACAGGGCACCTGGAGCGAACGTGGGAAAAACTCGAGGGAACGATACGGCTGCATGCAATATAGAATTGGAAAATCAGAATTTCATAGCATGCAGAAAATCAACCGATATTGAAGAATACTCATTACATATACAGGGTGTCCCAAAATTATTTGCGCCGATTTATAGCAATATATTTGAAACTTCTCAACTGCGAAAGACGATGGAATTTCTATACACGCTAGCTAACACTATGTGCTACAACATGCTAAAGTCGCATTTCAAAATATCCCCCGTGAGCGCGAATAGAAGTCAAAGTTTGCTCTCGAATTGATCGCCTGTGACACGCAGGTATCCTTTTCCATTTCTCCCCAGCCGTCCTCCAGCTTCTGCATTCTAAAACTCCAAACTGGGACTGCAAACTCGACAGGTCTTCTTCTAATCAGGGACCATTCGTGGGATTTATGTGAGTCAAGTTCTGGAAAATANGACGAACATTCCTCTTCACCAATAAAGTCGGGCAGCTGTCGTCGGCACCACTCGCGGGCAAGCTTGGCTCTGTGGGCTGGAGTAGCGTCCCGCTGGAAGGACTATGAGATGTTTCAGAAAACGTAGTCGTATCAATGTTTTATTTATTTCCATTAGTACGCCGTTTGAGTACTGGTCTCGGTCAATTTTCACGCCTGCACCGAACAAACCACGAGCGGCTTACCCTTGCCAGTGATTTCCTCGAAAAACATCATTTTACTGTTCTGATAACAACCTTTTTGTGAGATATTACACGCTGGATGTTTCTTCCCGGAACGCGAACGTTTCGGTTGTTGAGGGATGGTTTTATCGTAAAAAATTTTTTGATCAGAGAAAACGACGAAGGGTTGCGTGTCATCACACAATTGGGTCTGCGACTTTCTGCATTTTTTGGCCCTGCAGAATCTATTGAGATCGGGATTGAAGCATACGATAGGAATGGTAGTGAGGCTTCTGCATGACATTCTTCCATGGCGATAACTCCTGTAAGCCGTGCCCATTGACTTCCTTTTGATGGGTCACCCAGGATCCCGACCGATTGGCATACGGACCATTTTAATAGTCCTTTCTTCAGAAGCATTCTACCTTTCTATCTTTCCTGGTTTGTCTCTGATTCAATCTTTCTTTCTATATCGTTTAATAGCCTCCTATACGGTTATTAGAAAAATCCCAAAAAATTTCAAAACGCCCTTCCACTTCTCGCGCGTCAATGATTGCAAGTGGCATTAAAGGAGCCTCCTCCATCTGTAAAATAATGGGAGTTCCACATCAGCAACCATGCATATTGCAAGGAAACCTTCTTTTGCAACTAATAAATAACAGGAAATGTGAATTTGATAGATTATTTCTTCCTTAAAAATTATTGGTCTTTGGCGCAAATAATTTTGGGACACCCTGTATATACTTATTTACTGTATTCCTAACTAAGAATTTGCACCGAAATTCGAAAAAAGCACGAAAATGATATATTTTACATTTTCCATTGATCGTTTTAGCTTCTTGATTTCCAGAAAATTACTATAGCCGCGAATGTTTGCAGTCATACTACCAACGCTGAGCTGTGGTCAGCCTTGGCTGCCGATTAATATACCGCGGATCGGTACTTTCCAGAAGTTAAAAAGAAGAAAACACGGACCTAAAGGTTCATGCAATATGAAATGAAAAGTTACCAAAAGCAAGGTTACCAAGCAAAATTTGGCTAATGAGGAGCAAACAGCGTTCTATCAAATGTAAAGCCTGAACTTAAGCCTGAGCTTAAAAACTAGCAAGGAATGTATGTATAACACGTAACTGGTCAAGATACGAAAAGAGCGAGAAATAAATGCATTTACATTATAAAAAATTATTCAGTAATGCAGCGGTTAACAACCTACAGAATTTCGATCGACGGCTGGCGCTACAGCCGGTGCCGGCGTCGGTACTATGAAAACAACCAGTAAGCCACTTCAGAATTCACGGACAATTCCCTCTTCGGTACTACCCAAATTGATGAATACCGTTTTGCAATATTTATTTCGTAAAGTATATACAGGCAAGTTTCTATAAAACATTGAAAAATTACAAAATCATAGAAGGGACTGCCGCAAATGTGTACAAGCGGGCATCTGTAAAGAACTACCTGGTAGGGAAGGCTTTAGCAACCCAGCTATTTCCTCTTGTTCTTATGAAGAGCTCCTCATTAATGTATAGAACACAAGTTAGAAAACTTGAACGTATCATTTTTGTGCAAGATAAAGGTATCGCAGCTATAGTTTGCTTGCGGTAGACGTGTAAGATTACAACATAAACAACTTTCACCAAAAGTTACGAGGATGAAAAACGAAAGCCCTGGTGAATCGAATATCAAATCTCAAAAAAATTTGTGCACTTTATCAAACCCACACCTTGTTACATTTGGTACACTGGAATCTTTTCGATGCTGCACGCATTGGTTTTTTCTTGGCCCCATTAGGGTTATGGTACTAAAAGATTGCACAATTAATTGGAAATCGTCAGACTAAAGGCAAGGTATCAAAATGAATCCAAATCATGCAGCAAGAGGCCTATTACCTGGAAAAAATGCTGTTGAACATTTTGCTTCATTGTAAATGACCTATCACACTCGTCACAGATGAACTTTTTCTCACGAAATCGTTGAAATCTAAAATGCAAAAATATTATATGAACCTGGATTATGCAAAGAACAGATTCAATGAGAGCCATTCCCTACTTCTGCCGTGGTTCGACGATTTTCGGTGCTTCCGAATTATCTGGGTCTGCTTTTCGCGTATGACGGTCGTTAACAAAAATTTCCTGAAATTCTTAAATTAATCGAAGTCCTAAGAAAAATGTTCACGAGAGGTGTTCGGGTGCATTATTTACCTTAATGAAGTGGTTTCCGTTTACGCTCGGAGGATTATTCGAGAAGATTTCTTCCCATGACGCAGAATGATCCAGTACATTGGGTAAGCATGGTTCGATGAACGAGGGATCAAAATTATGCTCCCATGTCCAATTTGGTTCAAACTTGGTCTGTAATTAGTCAGAACTGTTATATCTAAAGCGAAAAGGTAAATGCTGAAGCTACTATTCCTCTTCTACTATTCCACATCGACGCTAAAATTTACTAGCTTTAGAAATTCCAATAAGATGAACACACAATCAAATCTGAGTGGAAATTGTAATATTCATAATTCACGTAATCAACCCTCTTTGATCAGTGACCTACACAATATTATAAGCATTCAAAAATCTTCGAAGTTAAAAAAGAAAAGTGTGATCACCTCGGAGGCTCCACAGGGCGCTTTATCCGTCACGCGAGTACATTCATTGACTTGTCTACAGCCGCAACTTTCTGAAAGATTATTGTAACCTGGTCTGGTAGGCGTGGTAGGTGCCGGCTATTGATTGAGTTATACTGATTAGTAAAGGAGCTGGTTATGGTTCTTTCTACACAATCGTAGAACGCTTCCTCTTCAAACGGCTCTGCGGATTTGGGCTGTAGTTTTAAACAAGGCTAGGAATAGTTCGTTACCCATGCAGGCATCCATTTGATAATTGGATTCATACACTAATTTGCCTAAAGTATTGATGGTAATATGTTAATGAAAGGTACTAGAATGTCGAGGGGTCGTCACCCTTTACTTCCAGCGTCAATCCGATGGTATGAAAATGGATGACAGACCGGTGCAAGTCTGCTATTATACTGTCGACTATCATCCGAAAAATTCTGGGATCTGATGGTGGCTGTTCGCCCAATGTGAACTATAAGCTATTGTAGAGCTCACGCTCTAACATGTATGAGGAACTGAGATATCCCAATGCTGATCCAGTTAGCCATGTCTCTCGTGCCCAACAGCTACTCGCGAAAACATAAGTTGGAACAGGTGCATCTGGCTTAAGATCCATCAAAATTATGGCAAACAGTGTAAAAACATGAAAGCCTCTTCGGGCAAGCTCATAAGGAAAGCACAAGTACGGGTTCCAGTCCCGCCTGAGGCCGAAGTTTGGCCCACAAATCGCCACCCTTGTGAGACTTTCGCATCACTTACTGGGGCGATATAACAGCAGTCAACAAAACATCAAACGAAAACCTCTCAGGGTTGTGTCACCATGAGGATGTCCAGCTAATCGTACAAGACCCTCTCCATTATCTATCTACGACATCACAATAACTTAACCCTGCCTGAATCTCCCCTTTGATAGATACCACTTAAACTTTAGTATCGCCCCTGTGAACCACTCATCGTTAAATTTAAATTTAATGCAGTGGCTCCATAAATTCTGCAAAATTCTGTCATTTAAAACCCATAAAGACATAGCAACTCACCTCGACAGCGGTACGGTTTGCAGAGGAAGACGTCTTCCCCGATGAATGGACCCCGCGGACCATCGTCTGCCTCATCGATAAGTAGATCAGCTGGCATGTGATCTACACCTGTTCCGTTAGGCTCCGACTGTCGCTATGCGATGAGCGCGCGTGGACGTTTCAGCACCAAGTTGGAGTCCTGGGAATTCTTCCAAATACGTTCTGAACTCATTTAGTCTTAGTGGACTTGATAGAACTTCACCTTCCAATGAATATGCTTTCACCTACGAACGTTCCCAAATGATGACCGAAATCAAAGTGAACCTGACTTCAAGCTTTTGCGTTTTTGCCTTTATCAGACTACAGCATTCCCTCTAGAGATAAGGTACGGTATGGATTCAACTGCAGATCTCTCTTCCTCGCGAATGCGTCAACGTTTCAGCTTGGCGCACATAGCGTGTGCTGGCGTTTTCTCAGTTCCGTTTTCACGTTGTGCTATTGATTCAGTAAGTCGTTGGGTTTATGTTTATACGTACTTGTTTTCCGGCCTTTATTGCTCGGTTAATGGCGTTGGAGAAGTGATAAGTATACTTAAAAAGTACCAGAAACAAAGGAAAAAGCAAGTTAACGGTGTATCTTCTAGCTTTCATGGCCTTGTTCTTTAGAAAGATGTTTCTTGTTGGACTTATTCCTCGCTTTTTCTTTGAACGTTCAAGTTTGTTACTGCTTGAAGCTTACGCATAGTACAAGAGAGGGATTGGAGAATGTGTTATTCGTTCATTTCCTATAATTCTGTCCACGTTTTTATGAAAAACTTTGATCTGCTCAATGTCAGTCATAACATCCCGTGAGAGGATCTGCAAACTAATCCAGAGTTTTGATGAACCTCATCAAAGCCTGAGCTACGCCAGCTTATAAAGCTTCATCAAAACCATGGTAAACAATGTAGCAATATAATAGTCTCTAATACAGTTTTTTTGGCTCCTTCGTCCCATCTACAGTAGATTGGCGGGTAGATTCCGTTTAATTTTTATCTTTTTTTTTAATCTTCTTTCCGTGAGTTTTTTAGTGGAGTAGCCTTGAAAATAAGCGTTAACTTGGATTTCGTTGTCCTTTTTAACGGGACGATTCGTGTGTGGTATAGAGCAGTTGACTTTTCATTAATGTTCTTATTTTCTTTCTGAAGTTTCTTCTAGTGAGCACTTCAATGAAAAGTTGATCTTAGGCAATGTGATGGGCTGCTGGAAGGCATTGTTCCTTTCCTTCATTTCTTCCTCTCAAACCCGTTTTACGTTTCGTTGCAATTGTATGACGGATAATCGTGTCACTGCATCTCCCTCTCATATCTTCGTACTTTCCTACCGTTAAAAGCGTAGCAGGTCATGCGTAATGAAAATTTTAAGGTGGATGATCATGAGCTGAAGTCATGACCTCAAATGGCGGATTAAGATAAGAACGTACAAAATTATGACAACAGGGAAAGAGGAGGCTGAGACGACACTGGTCGACTACTTTGTAGTAGCTGGATATGATCCTGATGTAGGCCTCGTGGTAAGTCCGCCTTTTCCGGAAGATTAATGAAATATGTTCAAACCCTTTGACCTTTCATAACATACCATACTCTTTTTGCAGATTGATACCACTTCTGAAGACTGCGCATGGGAGGAAGAGAATGGTCTAACCCCCAATTCAAAAGATCACAGACCTCCTCTGCAAAGGTCTTTTGTAGCTAAAATCTTGCACCACTTTCCACAGAAACGTGTGGGTGCTCCGTTCTCAGACGAAGTCTTATCGGTAAGTAAAATGATAGAGTCTCTAGTTTTCGGAGGCTTGTTTAATCAGAAAGTATCAGTCACTTTATTTTGTAGTTATGCATGCCGAAAGGGCTTCGATTCTATACAGAAAAAGATGTACCATTGAACGTTTCGCTTCATACTTTCGCAAACATACGAGAAGACGGTAGTCGTATCAACGGAACAGTCATTACGTACTATGAGGTTAGTCCTTTCAGCTCATTAGTTAATCGATTCTTTGATATTATTACTTAACGGTGATTGAATATTGATTTCATTGACCTTTTAGTGTGGCTGAGAATTTATTCAAGTTCACACAAGTTGCCGATAAGTAAAGAAGGCTTGAAGAGCGTGTTTTTTCTTGGCTATTAGTCACTAATCATCAAAGTTGTATTTTGATCGAGTCAAATTCAGTATAGAAGTCCTAGTTATTCATTTGTAGGAGGTGCGGGATCCTCGTATCTGTGAGGCGATGTCTCTGCTCCACACTGAGCATGTGCGAAAATTAACAGCTGGTGAACCTCCTCTCGATCGAGAACGAACTCATGTTCCTCCTGGGACTGTGTCAGGTGAAATTGTGATGAGTGTTGCTCCAAAGATTTTTAAGGCTCTTTTCCTGCAGGTGGTACACACACGTTACCGCGCGGTCGGAGAAATCGAACGAAGCGTATCTCTTATTACGATGGCGGCGGTCATAACACCTTATTCATGTGCGTTTACTTATTGCCTTATTCTTGCAAATTCGTGGAGTTTGAGTAGAATGATGAAGCTTTGGCTCGAACTTTATAGTGCATACGGTTCTACTTCCACTCTATTACCCCACTTTTCAAAAGTTGGGCTCAATTTTCCCCAATCTAGTCCACCAGCGCCTGTTTCAAAATACCAAGGATTAGTGGACTCGCTAAGAAGTGGGCCTTAGTATTCGCTGAACGTGATCATCAAGTTCGTTACGCTGACGAAAGCATGAAGTCTTGCACTATACCAAAAGATGCCTTATTCATGCCCAGGATATCAAATAGTGCCCGACCATAGGTTTCCCTTCGAGCCAGGGTTTCACCAGAAACAGGTTCCCTTAGAAATTCACAAATTTGGGGGCACTTGGTGACAAACTTCGAAAGGTCAGGTTTAAAGTCATGCTCTTTTCAGGAGCAAGACATTATGCCTCATCACACGACTACCTTTGGTGTGCTCGACAACTGCGATTCTACGGGCAATACATGAGTTGCTCACTAGTGCTTCTCAACCTCCTTTACCACTCGAAAGTTATATTTACTGGATTCTCAACGAAATACCGCTTCCCTCGCCCGGGACAACGCTTAAGGTCAGCATAAATTTTTCTGTTTTTTTATTGTATCCAAGATTTGCGGTGCAATTTTCGCCGGATTCGGAATACTAAAAATGCAGACATATTCCATAGCATGTTATGTACAGTATTAGGTTGATGCATAATTATTGCGGATTTTTTCGCGGCATCTTTCCTCTCGATAAAATTATACTTTTGAGTTCGGGATTTTTGTAGAGATAATCTTCTCACTTTCCTTATTAGAAATATGTCTAGAGAGTTATTTTCATATACGCCAAATTATGCTCTATTACTTCGAGAAATGTTGGAAGGCGCCCCGCTCATATCGTGATCTCAACAAACTTCTCGGCGATATAACCGTCAGCCAAAGCCGAACAAGGAATTGAATCTGCTTCTGCGGTCGCCCTATTCACCAACAGATACTCCTATGGATTATCACGTTGATCGCCCGTTGAAAAATTGGATAACGAACAGAACTTTTGACGAAGTGGATGGCTTGGTGGAGGACGTCAAGGCGTGATCGTCTCCAAGAATCGAAACTTCTTCCCTGTGGTATCCGACCGCCTAACAAATGGGAAGCAGTGCTTGACGTAGACGGTGAATATGTGTCGGAGCAATTATTTGAACATGTTTTTGCTAGATATTTCTATCGTTTCTTCAAGTGAAATTTGCTGAAAAAATCCGCAATAATTATGCATCAACCTAATACTTTCTAAATAGTACTTGTATTTTAAAAGCATGGTTGACAGTGAGATGTCATTTCATAGGTAGGTTCGAAATTAGAAGTGTAGGTTTTTGTAGTGCGTTAGTGGAGAGAGAAGCGAGAAACGCAGCGAATCCGTTAAGTATTTCCCGCAATAAAATATTAGCTTCTATGTTCTTTAGTCATTAATTTCAAAGGGCGAATATTTCATTCCATTTCAAAGTGATCTATATTCATAGACTAGAGACCTGAGCATTTTATGGTCCATATATGAATAATTGGACAGCTGTGAATGCACATGTCCTTTTTTGTGAAGAAAAATGGTAGCTGCATTTTCTCAAAATTACGTCTTTACTCAGTTGCCAACCTAATAATTAACATGAAGTGTTCTACGCGGTTATTTTGAGTTGACGAAAGAGAAGAGAGTGCGTTTTCATTGCACCTCCGGATCCGATTGAACTCCTCAGATGGTTTTTCGCTGTTTAAGTTTCACATATTGGCTCAGAGATATGAAAATTTCTTGCTAAAACAAAAGTTGCATTACCTACCTTGGCAAGGCTTGAAGCAATACGAAACCAGTTGTACCTCGATCTCGGATTAATCGAGAAGTTTTTTTAAGGTATCGATGTTGGACGCCACAATCCTTGTTCAACGACCGGGTTCCCGTGAGTTACCTATATTTGACGATTCGCTTGCGTCTATGTTTCAGGCAGGTTTCCTTTCTTCTAACATTACGATGTTTTCCTTTACGTTTTACATGCTGAAATCGATCCGGTTCCAGTATATCTCTGTGGAGAAATTTCTAAGGTTATTCGCCTGCTTCTTGCTCGAACACCAGATCTTGTTGTGCTCAAAAGGTGAGAACTAGTACACGTTGTCAATAACTCACGCTACATTTTTTTNNTTTTTTTTCTGCTATTTCACCCGTCTTTTTTCTTATTCATTTCGACCGGTTCCAAGACTATTTTCCCTTGTACTCAGCGACCCTTTTCAAAAAGATTTTGTTGACGCACTCTTCCATACACTCAATATTGTCACGCTCGTTGTGTTTGAAAGTTGGAAAAAAAGCAAAATGAAGAGGTTATATAATCATGGGAAACTAATGTTCAAAATCGGTAGCCTGTTTGCACTTAACTAACCAGCAGCGTTCAGTGACTGTACATTGGCTGTATTCATACTTACTACTGATCTCCGCTCGCATTGTGCTCACTGTTCAGCCGTTACTTCGTTCAACTTGTTCTATGAAGTTTGTTAGGAGCTCACGAACGTCAGCTAAAAAGAACTTGCAATCTGAAGCTCAGAGTGTGAAGATATAAAATTGCAATAGGTATGTAATTGCTTTAGAGTAATTTAGGGCGCGGCATTGGCTTATGCAACCTTTCGCGTCGTTTCGCAATACTAAGAACTGAAATTGTCTTATGAAGCATTTGTAGCCTGCTATTTGCAAATAGTTTTCAACTGCGCCGATGTACCATTTATCAGTATTGCGTATCTACTGTTTCACCTCGTTATTGTGCTCAGTGTAGCGTTCCAGGTGGCTGTACTCGGTCATACACATTAAGCAGTCATTGTGACCGCGGTACTTGTTCGCCGGACTAGGCGAATTGGAGCGTTTTAAGCATGCTTAATGCTTAGACGGTATTGTTCATTCGTCGCTCAGCTCGAGTTTTCCATCGGTAACCGTTAATACGCCACGAACTATGAACGCTTGCTTACGCCGCAACAGCGTTTGCTATGCATATCGCATACCAAGGTGTTGCAAGTGGCGCACAATGACACAAGCTTGGTACAGGGTTCCAATCCCTAGGAACACTGAGCCTTTCATGCTTTTGGATTCGGGTATTTAGCACCAGAAGAACAGACCGTATGCGATCGCATACGAGCGAAAGCTGCCTTGGGCTTCGATGATTTTTCCTTTTCCAGATTATTCTCGTTTAATGTGCGTTAGTGAATCATTGTGTGCATTGGCTTTTCCATTCCGATGGCAAATGGTTTACGTGCCAATACTCCCTTACTCGCAGCTCAAATTTGTTGAGGCGCCTGTGAGTCTACTTACTAATTTCTCCTCGTTCATCGCTCTTTTATCAATTTTCTTGGTTTCCCTACCTCAAAGACATAACTCGATTACTAATGTAAAAGCAGCATTACATTTTATTCAAGGTACCGTACGTTATGGGTTGGTGTTATGAGGAGAGCGTGCCAGAGTTTCTTTTCCAATCTAATGTATGTGTCCTCGACATCGACACGGGGCGTACAGAATTCCCTGAAGACCTTCCCCCATTTCCTGGAGCAAAGCAACTGTGTCAAGAAATCAAATCGGCCATTGAGAGGTGGGATGCAGCAGATAACTATCCAAGCAGATAATTTTCCTCACAACGTTGTTTGTAGGTATTCGACGCTGGACGACATGTCGAAATCTGTCATTAGTGGCACCACACCTTCTGGTTCCCCAGCGGTAACTAATCGCAGCAATAGTATTCGTCGAAACGAGGAATGGTCAGCGAAACGGATGAGTCGTTCTTTCGACAGGGACGACGTTATAGATGATGCTATCAGTGCGTTATACTTCCTAGTATTTTGCGATGGGGAGCTTAGATTTTTTCTCAAGTAGCATTTGAAGGAGAGTCTGTACTGCTTTCGCCTCGTCCATCTCGTGCGGACCTCACTCCTTTGCCCTTAGAAGGTGTACTGAAGAATAATTCTACCGTTGCTAGGTAACTTGAACCCTTTCATGTTCTTTCATATGTTATGATACAGGGAATGTGTGGATTCAGAGTGGCAGAGATTGCTCGGCGTGCTGGAGTTCTTATAGATGTGCAAGACCTTGAGCAGGAGCTGTCATGTAAAGATCAGTATGCAAATTCACCAGTTTGTAAGCAGTATTTCCAGGTTGGTGTCTCATTTCTACATTGTGGAATTCATTTTTCTCCTTTGTCTTTCTGAATGATAATTTATTAAGAATGCTCGGCTCAATAACGCTATTCGTGAATGCGTCTTGAACAGGATTGTCTGCATGTTGTACTCCTATGAACATTTTGTCGTTGGCGGGCAAGGCTGCACAGATAAAGAAACATTCGATGAGAGCAGGTTAGCATTAGGAAAGCTACTGTGATCATTTGCTTTATAACTTGTAATTTTATAATTTTAGGGATAGTCTTGTTTGCTTTGACAAGGCATCGTTCTTATCTGATCAGCCTGACAGCCATTTGGCGTTCCTTGCTGCGTTTTTGGAAACACAGGTAAGCTACTCGATGGAGTTCGTCACACTTACATGTGAACTATGCTTATTTGCAGATGTTCACATCGTTGATTGATGCGAAGATTCTCTCACAGTGGGAAGCTCCTGACGAGAATTTAGTTCTTTTCGATTCACGGATAGCAGCTATGAGAGAGAAGCTTGGACTTTCTATGGTCCGGACCCCAACATACGAGTCAACGCCACCATTTGCCCACACTGGTAACTGTCGTCATTTTAGAGCGTCTTAACCTCTTGTCTCAAAGGAGTGCTTCAGAGGAATTGATTTCGAAGCGAGAGGAGACGCTCGATTACGTTGTGCCGGGCCCACATGAACTCGCAGGAGCTGTGCCAATGAGATATGAAGGAGTTTGGCCCGAACAAATTAATACAGCCTTACTAGAAGGTGCCATGGGACTTAGTCCAGCGCCTAGCCCGTGGAAGCAACGGTACCCCCGTTTGAGGCCTAAACAACAGGAGGTACGAATCAATGGTCTCATTACACCAACGAATCCTTTTTTAAGCCTTTTTATCTATAAAGGGTGAAGCAGTTTTTACTTGAATTCAGGCAGCCACAAGTCGCCCAACCAGCACGTATGGCGGAGCCGGTTTGGTCGGTGACTCTGCGCAAGTTGCTCAGCAGCAACTCAAGTTCGTGGAACAATTGCTGCGGGAAACCAAAGGTTATAAATCGATCTATTTGCTTCTAAATGTACTTTTTTTCCAAATTAAAAGCGTGATTGCAATTTTTAGGCAAGACGAAGCGCATGCTTGTGGACAAGATGGGGAAAGAAGCTGTACAGTTGGGCCATCTAGATGCTGGCATAACAGGTGTCGAAGAAAACACTCTTGTGGCATCGTTTTGTGACCTGCTGGAGAGGATATGGGCACACGGTTTGATTAAGAAACAGGTATTTTATATGCCTTCACTTTGTGCAGATATGAAAGGTGTTCTTTTTCAAGTAAGAATTTGACTGCTTCCATTAATATTTTAGGGAAAGTCTGCGCTCTGGAGCTTTGTGCTTCAGCATCAAGACTTAGAGAAAACTTGTTTGTCGACACGGACCATGTCATCATCCATGCTCACTCCAGGTACTTTCTTGTAGAATTCTCGTGTAAATGCTAGAGATTTGAATGAATGTGACATGATAGAGTTAGATTAATAGTTTTTCTTCCATTGTTGTACATAGATGGTTTCCTTTGTGATTCTCTCGAAGATTCCTCTTTATTTCGCTCCAGCTCTAGCATGGCTGGTGTTCAGGAAGCGTCTAGAACGTAAGATTTTTAAAGTTAGGCGTGCGTAGGCTGCTGTGAAGGTGTAAAAGGGAGTCGATTGTTGGCTGATTTAATGTGATTAGTCCGCTAAGTGATTCGATATGCGGTGTACTGTTGCTGTTGTGCCTACAACCATGCTTTAAAGGCAAACCTCGCGTCATTCAATGCTCAAGTCCTTCCAACAGAGAGAGCGCTGAGTCTCGCGTGAACAAGGTTTCGAGAACGGTAGAATACACCTGTTCAGTTACCTGTTAAGCGAGTGGCATCGCTAATAATGAATTTTTCCGATGAAGATGTCCAGAACGTTGAGAAGCTCCGATAGCATAACATATGTCTTTGGCTCCTCCTGAATAGTAGAGAGGTCACAATCCCATTATTATGGTGGGTTTCGTTTCGCTGCTCCACTAAAACACCATCTGGTACCTTACCTTTGAGTATCATTGGTGGTCGACACTCCCTTCTGCTCAGTGACTGCTGCATCTCATGAAGCCCAACATGCAGGTTTTTTTTTGATTGAGTGATGAACTCATCCAATTACTCTTATTTTGGACTACTTGTGACATTTGTCCGAAAAATATTGAGTAAGACAATCTAGTATGTTGGCGCTACGTATCATACTTTCTGCGTTCAGAACTTGTTGCATCTTTACTCACATGTGAGGCTTGAGCACAGTCTACGAGAGGTTTGCCTTCAATTGTGACGCTACAATGTTAAGGAGGGTGTAGCTATTACCTTACCGATTGATGATGTTTGCTAAGTCTAAAACAGTGCGCTTCTTTGATGACTCATTCGGGTGACTTGATGACTAGCTCACATCTCTGATAATCTCACATGAATGCTGTGAAGCATTTTGCCGTAAGATTAATTTAAAGCAGAAATGAACATCGCAGTTGTGGCTATAACCAACATTGAACCGAGCTCATGGCAGGCTCTATCGGAAACCTTATTCAGCATTGACCTTCGTCTTCCGTACGACAAGTAGAAAATTACTAATTCTCGGCTAAGATCGTCTTACCTTGAAGGCACAGTTCACGATAATTTGTGTAATCCAGATGATGACGAAGAATGAAGGTAAGGTGGAAAATAGTGCGATGAAGGCGAAGGAACTGCGTGAATCGGTGTTTCCAAAGTAAAAAAGACTCCAAAAAATCGTTAAAAAGGGGGCTAGACGAGAATGAGACCAGGAGAATGGGGAAAAGTGGGGCGTATGGGCGAGCTATACAATGTGGGCCATTGCGTACGTGTGAGTTCTTGTGCAAATAACTGACTACAGTAAGCAAAAATTCATTCACTTATAAGCATTAGTAAACAAAAAAACCCTAGTAACAGCAAAATAGCTCACCTTTTTTCAGCCTCTTGAGGTAGGAAATTAAAAAAGGGATCGCGGCAGTAAAAGAACAACAGAGGAAGAAAGAATGGAAGGAGAACATCGCCTCATCACTCGGCGATCAGCTGATTGTGTGTGGGTCCTAGAACGAATGATTGCAACCTGTACCGCCTCGACACTCATCTGACGTGACATCGATCGAGAGGCGGGAAAGCCGCGCGAGCCGGACAGGGCGTCCACTAAGCCCTAACCGTCGAGTTTTCGGGCGCGAGAAAGTCCTTTTTATTACCCTTAGGGGGCCACTGAGTGAGTAGTCCTAGGGGAAGAACTCAGTAACCATTTTTATCGTGAACCGTGCCTTTAATCGATTTCGTGCAGTGAGGCCATGCAAAGGAAGAAAAAATGAAAGAGTTTAAACAGATGATGTTAGGGAATTACCAGATATCAGAGTTTGTGATAAGCTGGAAGTTCATAGTAGCATTAATGAACTCACTCCCGTTTTAATAACTTTCGACGAGATCTCATCAAAATTACTGGCGCCACATATGCTTTTTTTCCCAAGTAATGAAATTTTTAAAAGTTGAGTCAGTGTGAAAAAGAGAGCGTCATAAGCCACCACTTTAAATTGTAAGCCTCAATGAGGTATTTCGAAAGAGTCTGTAGACAAGTCGTGTTTGATTGGAAATACTGCTTTCTGTGTTCGTTTGTGATTGTGGTGGAACAAGTGTTTGTAACAGGCGACGGTCCACGAGGTGCGATGAGACGATGTCCATCTCTACCACATTGCGAGGTGCCTGCGCCAGTGATACTACAGCCGGCGAACGAAAACGATTTTGTGGGCGCTCTGTCTGAAATCGTGGAATCGATTCAACGTGAGCTAGGAAAAGCAGATGAGGAAAACGCACCTGCATGGTCGCGTTCTATCTTAAGAGCTGCCAACTTTCTCGCCGATAAATTGACCAACGAACCAAAAGAAGAAGCGCGAGGCGTGCTTTCAACAGCGTTCGCCCAGAGGCCACCAACTTATCCGAAATCAGTGATGAAGAAGTCGAACTCTGTCAGCGGTGGGTTCAATAGGTTCATTCAATGTACATACTCACAAAAAACTTAACAGTTCGACTTAATAAAGGGCTTGTGTGGTTGACAACGTCTTTTCTTTCTGCATGTTGGTCGGTGTCGGTGCTTTTTGCGGTAATGTGGTTGTCTAGTGTGCATGCAGTTGTAACTAACAAAACTCTTTGCAACTAGCTTCGTTCTAAAGATTGACACAGCCTTGGCTTTTTAATCGAGTGACTTGTGCAAATTGTAATATCGCTGCTTTTGTTTGTGTTGTAACTGTTTTGTAGTCCATAATATTTCTCGCCTGTTCAGACTTCACCAACTCCAGCTGGAACAGTGAAATAGGAGCTAACCCAGAGGTCACTGGTTCTCCTCGCAGGCGCTCTCAAAGTCGGCCTCGTAGCCCTGAAATGGGCGCTCGTGTTGTGTTAGCTCCGCTTCCAACCCACGTTGCTTATGACCTCAAGTTTGTTATCTCCATTATTAGAGATGATAGACCTTTCGAAAAAATTTCCGTCACCTAGGAATGTTTTGCGAATGACGGAAATCAAAACTGATATTGGTTATGCGCGTGCGTTCGTTCGCCTTGCTCTGGAGCGGAAGCTTCTCCATCGTCATCTGGCTACACTTCTGGGGAACAACAGGCTGTTAAGGTATATTGTTCATTCCGTTCTCTTGTCAATTATTTTTCACCGATTTGTCTCCGTACACTAACGCGTGCGTCACAACAGAGAACACATCCAACACAATAGTTTGGTAAGTTATGGAAAAAAAACTTTGGCTTGGATGGGACTTGAACCCGTGCTTGTGTTTCCGGGCAAAGTGCGCTCTATCCCTCACATTACGACAGCAATTAACAAATATTATATTAATAGCGGGTCGAAACATCTAACTCAGTTATGATTTTTCCAATCTGAGTTCCACCCCTCGTTTTCTCCTTAGTTTCACTTGTGGACCCATTCCTTACCTTTGACCGTTTTCCCAGGGCTTGAACTGTTATGAAGCCAATCTAGGGAGTTATGCCTATGGAAGGGCCACTCCGCTGACTATCAGGATCAACACAATAGCTACAGAACGAAATTGCCCCTACGCAGTAACGGCCAAAATAATATTTGTTGATTATGTCTTGATGTAGTACTTCAAGTGTTTGTTTTGTTATAAAAAAGTTTTGATTTTGGTCAAAACTTCCCTTCCTAGAGTTGGATATCTGTGTCACATCCGCTCAAGTTTGATGGAAGTTGAATCCAGCAATTGTTGATCTCTTTATCCAATCTCCTTTTCGTCCAACATATGGTCTTGCCCTTTTGTCTTTTCCACTTACAGTTGCTCTTGCTCGTTTCGTTCCTTTGCGGAAGGTTGCCCTTCAATCATAGGAATACCAGTAAATAAAGAGCACGAGGAGTGATTGAGCTAGTAGAGCCCGGTACTATTTAGGAAACAGTGTCCACCTGTTTCAACATACCCCTGTGACGGTTCCATCCGTCAGGGCTTTTTACTTTTCCGAAACTGTTGCCCAACTTTGATAAATCTCGCGCAGAACCATGCCTTCTCGCGCAGAACCATGCCTAGGAGTCATGCTACTTGCGCTAGCATCGGAGCACTTATGCTAGTATTCACTTTGTACATTCTTTTATTGAAATAATTTCTCTTCCAGTGAGCTCTACAAACAGTATGCTTTCGTTCGGTGTGAAGATGAACGGGAACAGTTCCTTTATCACATATTGTCTCTCAATGCTGCTCAGTTCCGCTGCTTCACGAACACCTTCACTAAAACAAGTACGTTATCTTTTCTCATGACAAAAGCGAAAGAAAGAGAAAAAAGCGATGAAAGAAAGATGAGAAAAAGAGAAAGAGGAATGATGTTATCACTTGAAGGCGCCATAATGACTCTATTTCATTTGCCCAATGTGTGTAAAGTGAAGTATGTTGCGGTAGGGCTGGCCTGCATCGAAGCTATTAAAAAAGCCTTCAAGAAAACCAAATTTTTCCCTAGGCTGTTGTTAGATCGTAATTGGACCGCTTTAGAGATGGATTACCAGGTCGTAATAGTAACTGGTGGTTGGAGAGGATCGCTGCCAGCAGTATGGGTTACAGTAAGTTTACAGTAGTGCCGTGTTTGTTGATTTTTGTTTCGGCAACTTCGATATGCTCATTCCCAAGCTGTGTTGCTGTTAAGGTGGGAGGAAGTCTGTGCAGCAGTCCTCAAATCAATCTACCTGCTAACACGCCGCTGTTCAAGTTCGATGTGAGAAAACCAACATTTTTTTCTTCATTCGTTAAACCAAGATCGAGGTATATTTAAGCACAAAAACCTTGGAGTCCTTTCAACTCTTCGAATTGGTCATGCACCAGGTCCGGAGAAACCTCCGAAGTGGTATTTGGAGTATGTGAGTATCGAATTTTTTTGTAAGCGTTCTAGAAGTCAATACCACTAATCTGGACTACTTCAATCCACCAAAATAACATGTGCCTCAACATCTTTGCTTCTTACGAATTCTTACCTATGGGGTAGCTTCCTAGAAATTCTTACCTTTTGAGTAAAGTCCAATAATAAGTATTGAAGAAAGAAGTATATTCTTACCGAATTTTCGTTTTTTGTTCTCTTGTTAGAAGCACCAGAAAGCACTAGCACCAAAACTGGCACCAGAACTCTTGTTTGCACTCAGTTTATGACACCAACGCTCGCGAAAATTTTGAAAGCCTATCTGATCTGTTCAATGCCATTATAGTATTGTTGCAAAAGATCTAAAAGTGTATTCGATTTGATAAATTAATTTCGCCTGTGCATTTACTGTAACTATTGAAGCACCACAGTAAAAATAGCCATCTGTTTTAGGTTATTGTACGCAACGAAATAACTGGTCAGATGTACCGATTCCCTTGTGGACGATGGTTTGGTCAAGGTGTTGAGGACAGCAGGTGGTTTGGAAACGGCTGCGACGTAAGCTTGGAAAGGTAAAAATCATTTCTCTCTGTCTTATTACCTGGTACTGTCTCAGAATTCAAGAATGTTAAAGGCACAGTTCACGAAAAAACGGTTTCGGAGATTTGCACATGGTTTGTATTCGACGCCCCCCCCCCCTGATAC